TTAAATCATAATATTTATGTTGCCCTGCAATTGGCTGGCAACCGGTTCAGGGTGTCCCCCGCCTACTGCCCGAAGACAGCTGGGATAGGCTCCAGCACCCCTCCGCGACCCTTGTGAGGATAAAGCGGATCGGAAAATGGATGGATGGATATTTTATGTATCGGTTTATATGTATCGGGTTTTCCCCTAATCCAGGGTCTACACCCCACCTCCCTCCCCAAAGTCAGGTGGGGTCATCCCCAGCTCATCCCATTGTGGGCGTTTGGATGGATGGGTCGTTCCTTGCCTCACAAGTCATCTATTGCATTGTGTCATTCTTTTTTTTTTTTTTTCCCTCAGCCAAGTCTTTAGTGAGCAGCTCCATGGGCAGCGACTGTACCTTCTTCCAGACTGTGGATGACCACATTACCCAGCCAGTCCTCTTTATCCCAGAAGCACATCTGTCCAGCTTACAGCGCATAGTAGGTCTCCCTTATTATTATTTTATTTATTTATGTTTTATGAATCAAGGTGCCTCCCATTGAGTGAGTGAGTGAGTGAGTCATATTCCCGACCCATCGCTCATCCCTGAAGGCATCAGCTCAGGCACGGGAGAGAAAAAAAAAATGTGTGGGAAAGTATGCGGTGGGAAAAGTGGTGTGGGAAAAGGGAGGGGATTGTGAAAATGAGGTGAGCTAATTGGAGTCGAAACCGAGCGCATGCCGCTGCAGAGCCGATGAGGGGCCATCCGCACCTGGCGCGTCAGCACCTCGCAAAAGACCCATGCGCCACCCTCATCTTATTCCTCACGCACGACAGCGCTGTTCAGACAAGCCGGCGTTCCCACACTGCAGTTTATGCACATTATATAATGCAGCGAGTGTGTGAGTTACAAAACCTCGGAGGCTTTCCGTTCAGATTCACGCGGCGGTAGCGGCGTCTTTCAGCCAAATCACTACGCACTGTCTCGTCTGTATTTCCTCCTTGAGCGTGAAGGTTATGGGAAACGTCATCTTGCCGTGATAACATTCCTTCATGAGCGGATTACAAAAGCGGAGGGGAGGGGGGGCGGGGGGCATGAAGCAATGTCTTTATCAGCTGTCTGATCAGATCTTTGTGTCCTACTTTTGCAGACCACGCCCATGGAAGAGAACGAAAGGTAAGCGTGGAAAAAAAATAATAATAAAAGCTCTTCCCTAAATGTTGCAATGTACAGTCAGAAATGTATCAGTGGCACACCTCCCATGCAATATTCCGGAAGTGTTGGTACACAACCCATTTGGAATAACTTCCAATAGAGAAATCTAGCAGCTTTTCTAATACATTTTGAGTGGCGCACCACCTTCAACACTATATCGGAGTTGGCGCACCCCCTCAGAGCTCAACTGTGGCATGAATCAGTCTTAAGCAGCCATTCCCGAATTTGTTAAGCCTGCCTACTGTAGTTGATGTCTCCCTCCAAAGCCTGATTATCGCAATTTAATGGAACTGTATGAGACGAAAGAAGCAATTTCCAGACTTTTTAGTGGCGCACCTCCTTCAGTGTTTCCTACAAAGGTGGCGCACTCCCTCAAAGCCACTTTATAGCAATTTCATATCGGAAATGTAACAGCCAAAAAAACAGCCATTCCCAAACATTTTGAGGTGTTGCGGAGATAGCGCACCCCCCCCCCCCAAAAGCACCATTAACATCCAATAAAGACATCTCGTTTAATCATCCATCCATTTACGGAACCGCTGATCCGACAAAAACAATGCACACAAAAATTCAACGATGCACTCTCGTACATGTGAAGCATCTCATGGAAGAGATTCGGGGTAGCGCCGGTTATTTGCTCGCCCAGCCCAATATGGGAACCCCTGGTGAATCATGTTTGTCTTTGTGCATTCAGAAACTCTCTGAAGCGATTGTACTCGGACAGAGAGCAGAGCAGCTCTCCACCTGGCAAGCAAGCGCGCAGAGACGATTCCCAAAGAGGTCAGTCAAAGCAACTGTTGTTTTGGTGGTCTCGGAGCCATCGAGAGGGAGCTCAACGCTTCCGCTTTCTGTTTTCCTTCCCAAAAGTTCTGCTGTACGTGAGGAGAGCCGCCGAGGAGGTTTTCGACGCGCTCATGCTCAGCACGCCAACGGTGTCGGGCCTACGAGAAGCTGTGAGTACATCCTGAGGAACAAAAAAAAAAACAAAACAACATACCAAAATGTTGTATTGCCTTTCGAAAGACGCAAATTCATCTTCTCTTCTTCCGTCATCAGATTTCAGATAAGTACGGCATGCAAGAAGACACCATTGGGAAAATTTACAAGAAATGCAAACGAGGGTGAGTGGCCTTTTGTGGGTTTTTTTTTTTTTTTTTTTGCTTGGCTCATGGGACCCCATGATGAGTTCCTTTGCGGAATCTCAAGTTGACAGACTGGCTCGGTTGGTTGCTCTGTTTGTCTCAGCCTTAAGGAATGTGTTAATTGCAGCTCCCCCTCTAAGGAAAAAAAATAAGACTAAGGAAGGGATATAAATATTACAAAAGTCCTGAAGATGAGTCATGCCGATTTGTTGTCTTTCCATTATCCTGTGAACCGGACGGTTTTCCGCCGCTATAATTCGATTTGACGAATGCACCCGTCACACAAGCAGTCGAAAAGAACATCGGTGTCGTCAAGGACTTCGTACAGTTCAAATTGCAGAAAAGACAGACAGTCTCCCTCTGCTTTCGCTGCCGCTCGTCACCGCAGGGGCCCCGAAGCCGAGCCAACAGGTTGAGTTACATTCCCTCGGCAATTCCCCTCCCTCCTCATCTTCAGTCGGCTTGCAGCCTGCAGGCGCAGTGTGTGAGCGTGTCGCTAATTCACTCATTATAGTCTTTGAAGGGCTTACGGCTGACGGTTGAGCCAAGGCTTTGGGAGGAGAAAGATTCAAACTACTTTGATTTATGAGACGCCAATGCTGGAGATAGACGGACAGTACAGTATTTTTTTTTTTTTTTTTTTACAAGCTAGGAGCCAAATCCGCACGATTACAGGTTATTGACGTCAGACAAGAGATTGCATAACCCACTTTATTAAGTCCTCTGTGTTGACCGCACCTTTATCCAACCACAAACTGGAGTAAAATAACTGCTCGACTCGAAGACGATTGGACCACATCGTGGGGTGTTGGAAAGTCGAGTTGCCTTTGATCAAAGTTAATCTCGGAAGCAATGAAACGGAAATGTTGAAGAGAAAATAAATGGACTGGACTGCCTGTAGGTTGTTGAACACCAAGAAGTTGCGTTTCCTTCCATTAAACTTTGAAGGCAATTTTACTTCTTTCAGGTTGCTGAAGACTGAACCCAAAAGGAATCCAGTTGCCTTTTATTCAACTTCTTGGTTTTCACGATCATATACTCATTGTCTTGCTTTTCAACAACCAAGAAGGCAAGTTGCTTTCTGAATCAAGTTGAAGGCAACTGAATTTCGTGTTATTTTTCAAGAAGTCATAAAGAATGACAGCTTGCCTTCCAGTAAACACAAATTAGAAAGTAACTGGACTTTTTATAGTTTGTTGAACTCCAAAAAACATGAATAGAAGTCAACTGAATTTTTTTTTTCGAGGTTCCGTCTTCTTCTTGGTGTTTGACAAGCCAGAAGAATTTCACTCGTTTTTGGAACTTAAGTTGAATAGAAGACAACTGGGTGATATTTAAGGGTGGGGTTGAAAACCAAGAATCCCAGTTGCCTTCTGTTCAACTTCCTCTAGAGAGCAATTGAACTTCTAGATTGACAATTACTGTTCAATCTCGTCAACCACCTGCCTCTCAGCAACCTCGAAAACGTTCAGTAGTTTTCCGAATGACTTCTTAAATTTTTCAATGGCTTTAGTGTTCAACAACCAAGAGCAGCGGTCCCCAAACTTTTTTGCCCCAGAGACCGGTTTAATGTCAGACAATATTTTCAGGGACTGGTCTTTAAGGTGTGGCAGATAAATACAACAAAATAATATGATATGACCTACATGAAAACTGCGGTATTTTCCAAACATAACAATAAACACGAATCATGACAACATGAGGAACGTCCTATTTGGCCGCAACCTTCTCTGGTCCCGATGGTAACGTTTAAACGTGCCTTCAAAATAACATACAGCGCAGATAAAAAGTGCATGAAAAATACGACTCACCATCGCCGCATATTACGCAGAGTGGGCTTGGTGCGTCGGAATCTCCCGTTGAGATAAAAACATATTTTAAATAGGACTCCTGATACTGTCTATTAAATGTAGCCGAATTTTTCTTGAAAGTCGTAGGCTCCTCTTCTGTCTCAACGCTCGGCCTTTCCGACTTCCCAAAGAAACTTTCCCAAGACGTTTGTTTTTTACTCATTGTGCTAGCGGTAACTTTTCACGTGACCGAGAAGGGCGCCTTGACCTGCGTCCAAAGTGACGTCGTGTAGACGGATGTAACAGAGAATCCGGTAACTTTTCAAAATAAAACGGATAACGAAATGAATAAAACGGAAGTGATGCAAGTTATTTATTCTTTCTGTGCTGCCAGTTACCAAATGACCCGGTCCGCGGCCCGGGGATTGGGGACCACTGACCTAGAAGAAGTATAGTTGCCTTCAGAATGACTTCTTGGTTTCTCAATTGCCTTCTATTCAACAGTTTTGTGTTCAACAGCCAAAAAGTCCTTTTCCTTGTTCCTCCAGTTCCTTTCAATTCAATTTTTGCACACCTGAAATACGCTTATACAGACGCATGGCCTCGTGCTTGACTTTTTGCGCATCCTCCCACTGAAGTCTTTTCCCTCTCCCCCGCAGAATTTATGTCAACATGGACGACATCATTATCGAACACTATACCAACCAGTCCGCTTTCCTCATCGAGATGTCGGAGGTGGTCAGCGGTCAGTTCCAGGTCACTCTCATTGAAGTATGATGACGCCATCACGGCGACATCCCTCAAGCACTTCGCCATCCGCGAGGAGAAGAACAAAATAAGCCAGCCAGCTGCGGACTGACCAAAACAATGAGACACCTGAGCTGACCTTTGAATTTCAGACGTAAATATCTCCAATTTTGTAAATAACGCCATATCCCAGCCCCCCACCCCCCGCCTCCTTGTTCTTATTTGTCAAAGCAATTATGATGTTCTACTTGTACATATTCGTTTGTAAATATGTTTTATGATGACAGTGTTTTATAAAGTACCATTTTTACAATTCAATGTATTTCAGATGAACGTGGCGCTCCGTAGCATGATTTGCAGTGCGCGCCGGCAATTTAGCATGAGCAGATTGCCATCGTCGTTCTTTTTTTTTTTTTAAACGTACCCGTCACCAAGGGTGTGTTGTTATTTTTCTTTTGAGTACATCACGCAAAAAAAAAAAAAAAAAAAACGAAAAGCCTGCCGATAGCGTTTCTCAACTGCTACTTCCTCGAAAGGTTTCCCGGCAGTTTCACCACGAATGAATTCACAAGCAAACGTCACACATTTCCCTCCGTCAAACCACACGCAGAGTTAGTATTGGTCATCATTTAGCCCCAAAACTGTGGACATTTCCTGTTTGTTTGGTGGAGACTGTAGGTCCGTCTTTGGACTTTCATAGTATGGATGTCATGTTTGTGTTTGTGTTTGTGAACGTGTGTGTGTGTGTGTGTGTGTATGTGTGCGTGTCAGTGAGTGTGTGTGAGTTTTTTTTGTGCCTTCTCGTATGTTATCATTTCAAAGCAAACATGTATCCCTGTAATATTTCATTATATAAGCCAAAGGCAAATGGTTGCATTAGTCATATTTTGCCAATTGTTTTGTACGAAAATAAACAAGTGTATGAGACGTGTCTGTTTCTGTTTGTTTTTTTTCAGCCATTTCACGCTGTTAACGTTGGGCAATAAACTGGCACATCCCGTTCTTAAGGTGATGTGCAGATACTCCGTTTATGTAAACGTGAATCTGACCAAAGTCGTACTAATTCAATTCCTTCACTTAAAGTAAAAAATAAAATAAAATAAAAATGCAGACTATGAAATACACTTGAGTACAAAAGTTTTAAAAAATGTTTTATCATCAATTATCTACAAATTTTGTAATGTTTATTTTATTTTTTGATAAAATTTTCCATGAAAAATTCCTTTCAAAATATGAAAACAAATCTTGAAAATGTAAAAAAATACATGAAAATATGCCAATCCATGGGTGCTGAACTGTGAATATGGAGGGGTCGACCCAACTGTAGTTTTAAGTTGTAATAGCACCAATCACCACTAGATGGCAGACACGTCTCCGTTGCACTAACACTGCCCTATATTTCGTGCTTTAAGTGGGCCGGTTTGCACCAGTACCAGCATTTACTAGTTTTAGCCACTTTTTACGGTGTCCAAAAAAAAAAAAAAAACGGCGACTTCACATGAGCCGACAGGACCCTCTCTTGTTCTTTTGCACTTTGTGAAAACATGGCTGTCAGTGTTTGCAAACTGAGCTGAGATTGGGCGTTACAGGAGCGCTTCCCACCACTGTAATGGGCATGGAGAGAGAAAAACGGCTCGCTCTTCTTTCCCTATTTGGTTACACTGGCAGAGGCAGACAGAATGCTCAATACAACCCAGACATACACACACACACACACACACACACACACACACACACACACACACACACACACACACACACACACACACACACACACACACACACACACACACACACACACACACACACTGAGCAGAAGGTGAGACAGAGAAGCAGACGGGCGGGAGGCTAGCGGAAAAAGGAAGGACGTAAGGACAGAAGCAAACACAGGCTCGGAGACAGAACGAGGAGGCAGGCGGGGATGAATGACGACGAGATGCTTCCACCATCGGCGCCGTGTTTGCTCCTCTGAGAGAAGCTACTGATCTGCAGTCAGATACCCAGAAAGCCTTCTGAATGGCAAGTAACTCTCGTGTGTGTGCGCGTGTGTGTGTGTTTGGGTGTGTGTGTGTGTGTGTGTGTGTTTGGGTGTGTGTGGGTGTGTGATCACATTCTCTGCACATGTGTAAAATAGAGTACATGTGATCGGGTTAAAAATAGCCTACAGTGTGTTCATTTCATTCATCACAAGCTCCTTCAGTGTTGCAATGTTCATCAGACACATGTCTTCCATATTTTGGTGTTGTTTGTTTTTTGGGTGTGTTTTTTTTTTTTGCATCAGTACCACTCTCAAGAATGTGTGTGTGTGTGTGTGTGTGTGTGTGTGTGTGTGTGTGTGTGTGTGTGTGTGTGTGTGTGTGTGTGCGTGGTTTATTCTAGCGCGGTCCAGATGATGTTCCAACAGCAGTCTTCACATCCATTTTGTCAGTCATCTGTGTTGGTCCCATGGCATTTACATTTTATGATTGTATTTTTATTATCTTTTAACCTTTAAATTTTCAAAGATTTTTGGGGGGGTTATTGCTCATTTGTTTGTATTTTATTTTTATCAAACTGGATTTGACGCATTATGCCTTATACATTTTTTTTCTATTTTTGTCCCCTACAATATTTTTAATAGTTTAATTTTTACTTATGTGTAACTGTGATTATTTTTACAATATATTCTTTTAGGATATAATTTAAATCCTTCATTATTTGATGAATTTTTTAATCATATTTATCGATTATTATATAATTATATGTGTCATCATTCTACTTATTCTATGTTTATGCATGTTTTAGGTTTTATTTTAATTCGTTGTTATTTTTTTTGCTGGATATTCTTGTTTTTAACCTGTTATTTAACTTCAAAATTGCATTTTTAAAATTATTAATTTATTTAATGACATTTTCCAAATATTGATTTTGATTTTTTCGAAACAAATATATTTTACTGTAATTCTGCCATACATTTTTGTTCATCTTACATATTTACATACTATTTTCGCTCTTTTCCCTTTTATATTATATTATTTATATATTATATATAAATATAATATGTATTTATTTAGACATATACATATGACATCTCTCGCTCTACTTCTATCTATCGATCTATCGATCAATCGATCTATCTATCTATCTATCTATCTATCTATCTATGTAATTGCTATCCTTTGAAAAATGTCAATGTTTGTCTTTTTTTTGGTGTTAATGTGGTGTCTGGTTTCATTTTTTTTAATGTGGATCGATAGATGGACAGATGGATGGATGGATAGATGGATTGATAGATGGATGGATGGATGGATGGATGGATTGACAGATAATGTGGTGTCATGCCTGTCAAGAACAACAGCCCATTCATCAACGCTGCGAGGAGATGACGCGTGTGTTTGCATGACATTTAATTCCTCGCCGTCAGCTTCCCATCGTGTCATCGCGCAAATGAACATTTGTAATTACTTACGCACACACGCACACACATGCAATACTTCTTCACAATGGCCTCACACCACAGGTATTTGCTGACTGAAATCTTCCCCTCTTGGGAATATCGGACTGTTCGAATGTGTTCTAATCATTCACCCGTGCGGACATGTTATGGGGGGGGGGGGGTTTCAGTATTATTATCACTATGTTTATCAATATTATTATTATTATTATTATTATTATTTGTATTGGCGGCCCAGTGCTCGAGTGGTTTGCGTGTCGACCTCATGGTGCAGAGGTCGTGGGTTCGATTCCAGCTCCGGCTTTCCTGTGTGGAGTTTGCATGTTTTCCCCGTGCCTGCGTGGGTTTTCTCCGGGTACTCCGGTTTCCTCCCAGCTCCGAGCCACGCTGTGTAAATGTCTGCCAGGGAGGGCAGAGGGGCGGCCAACGATACTTGGTGCAGCTTTCACTATCCTCTGAAGCCTCGCTGCGACTGCCTCAGTGCAGCTCTTGTGCCAGATGGAGAGACAGTACGTCACCGGGCTCTCAATGGACAAGCGCTCGAAGGCCAGCTGCAGCTTTCGATTGTTTTTTTCCTGACGACTCTCAAGAAGCGAAGACGTTGCCGAGCGCTGAGATGTTATCTGCCCAGGCTGGGTCCTCAGAAATCAGGACTCCTAGGAGCCTGATCGTGTGGTCTCGCTCCTCACGCTCGCCGTTGGAGTAAAGAGGACGCTGGTCGGTTCTGTTCCCCCCGAAGTCCACAATGCCCCCCTCTGTTTTTGCAGCATTCTGTGTCAGATTGTGAGCTTCCGTACCTCCTCTCTGGAGGCTGCCCGACCACTGTCATCGAATTTGACATGATACTGCTTTGGTGGACTGGGCTGCAGTCGTCGTAGACAGCAGTAGCAACTTCATCCACTTGAGGGAGGAGCCAAGAGGGGAATGTGCAAAAACGGCTGGGTGACGGCAGTAAATCCAGTTGTCTGGCAATGCTGTAATTAAAAGAACTGTTCTAATAAATGTATCATCACCTCTCTAATTTTTGTTCTCAAAAACGGTTTCATTGTCAACCGCCCATTCCAATCATCTTATTCATCATTTGTCCAGCCAGTGAAAGACAAATCCCCCCTACCACCACCACTCCCCATGTTACTTTTTGTTGCTATTTCTGTTTTATTACTATTGTGTGAAATGCAAAAATGAAAATGAACAATGAGAACGCTTCAGTGGCTAATGGTGCTGAGTCACATCATGTCTCTACATTGTCTCACTGTTTTTTTTTTTGTTTTGTTTTGTTTCTGTCCTACGGTCAAACTCGCTCTGCATTCAGGCGCTGGCCTGACATTATTATTACCCAAGGGGGACGAGAGCATCATCAAGGTCGTTACGGAGCATCAATTGTCAGGAAAAAGACGTCACAAGACTGAAAGTCTCCTCATCTTAACACTGATGGCTCCTTTTTTTCTTTCTTTTTTTTTCTCATGGCTTTCTAAAGACTTCCTTTAGCCAGCTCCATAATGGATGGACATCATGGGGGCCCCAAATCAAGTGTGGTACCCAAAATGTCAACGACACACGCACATCCAGACGCTATCATCACCCTGACTTAGAGCTATTGATTGTTCACCCTCTAATCAATGGCTTGCGTCTGGCCTGCAGTGACAAACATGAAGAGCGTAACACCGGAACGCACCGCCGACACATCAACGCCGCCGCTTGAATGCGTCGCGGGCACGCAAACAGGCACGCGCATAGAAAGAAGCCTAATAAACTTTGTGATGAACAAAAATCTGCATGTTCGTGACAAGATGATTGTTTCCTAGCAACAGAGACAGGCTGCGAGCAAACCTGCGTACATCGCGCTCAGCACCTGAGTCATTTTTGGGTTTTCATTGTGCTCTCCCCCTCCTCAGAGTGGCACGAAAAGTCGTCGGCCGTACAAGAGGAGCGGCATCGACCTGAGGTAATGAATCGATGTCGGTTCATAGAATGAATATAATTGGTCTGGTCGGAGAGTCCTTACTCTGGTTTACCTCATTCTTTCATTACGGACTTCAGTTTGTCTCCGACAGTAGCAGTCAGTTAGATTTTGTAATCATTGAGACGGGTGTACACCAGGGCTCATTCCGAGGGTCACTAATTTTTTTCCCGCCACATGTTTATTTGCCTAAAATTCCTTCTGACTGTGACTCTATTCCAGATGACACTGTTCTACATTGTTTAAAAATCTAATATCTTACTACCTCAGGGCACATGATCGAGTCACCATTACCTGACAAGTTAGCAAAAGAATGGCCTCACCTTTATTATTTCTAATTTTAGATGATGTGGAGTGTGTCTCAGAACACTTCAGACTCAACCCTTTATTCGCTTAATGGTGCCTATAATCATCTCTAGAAAATCTCTCTTGAGCAAACAGCAACCAAGGTGCATTTTCCAACAGTGACAAGGCAGTTTGGCAGTCCTGAACTACATGGCGAGGCTTGACTGCTTACCAGAAACAGGTGCACCACTGAAGAGGCACGCCCTCCACTCCAGCTGGCACTGAAAACAAAAACAAAGACGGAGCAGAAGATGACAGATGTATAAAAGTGAGAACCCAGTCGTTTTCTTGGATCGGGTGGAGCTGTTGCTGAGAGAGGAGGAATGAGCAGGAATAGTCAGAGATGGGTGAATGGGGCAGGGGGTGGGGGGTTTAACGTGGGTGAAAAAAACAAAAAGTTGTTTTCGCATAATATAAAACTTTCATTATACTCAACATTTAAACAATGTCTTGACCCTCGGTTGTGTTGATTGTATCTGTGTGATGGACCCCCCCTGGAGAAAGAGATCTCATCTCAAAGGGCTAGTGAGCCACGGGGTCACTTGTAGTCGCCTGCATTCTGCTGCCTGGAACCACCCTAGTGAAAATTGTTTAAAAATATTGCGTAAAGGTCGACTGACGACAGCTTTCTTTCCTCCAAGTTTTTTCAGCATTGCACCATATCGGCTGTCTCTGAAAACCGAATCTGCACCATTCGAGCAATCAGGGGAATGCAGACTCCAGCGTCCATGGTGATGGGGATCGTCTTCGCCCCCTTGGGTCTGGTGCTGCTTTTCACCGCTGCCATCACCCCTCAGTGGAGAGAGGGCCACACGCGTCTGGACTTGGCCAGGCCTGGCTCCATTCTCCTCCGGACGGTGGTGAAAAGCCACAATCCCGGACTCCGCCCGGGGATGTCGGACGGCCTTCTGCTGGTTCGCTCCGATGGGCTTTGGGAGAGTTGTCTGCAGTTGGAGCACTCCGAGTTGAAGCAGTGCTGGCCGGTGATGGGTCCTTATCAGCGAGACCGCCGGGTTCGCCTGGCGCAGGGCTTGGTTCTGACCTCGTTGTTCCTGTGCGGCACGGGTATCCTCCTCGCCTGCATCGGGGTCCGCTGTTGGACGGATCTCCCGCTACGAGGAGTGGCTGCCACGGGGGGGCTCCTGGTGGTGGTGGCCGGGCTACTCAGCATGACCGCGCTGGTGATCTACACTCACAACCTGCGCAGGCTGGGGACGGATGACACCAAGCAGGACGTGAACAACACCAGGTTCCCTCAGCTCAGCTTGGGTCCGGCCGGCTCCCTCTACTTCGGGTGGTTGGGTTCGTGCCTACAGATATTGGGAGGGGGTGCCCTCGCGTTAAGTTTCAAGAGACCGCGATGCAGAACCTGCCCGGAGTTGGCAGCCTGCCCCGCTTGTCGACCGTGCTCAGAGTTTCCCAACAAGCCCGACTCTGACATTTATGAAGTCAGCTGTTAGAATGTGACTGTAACTTCCAAAACGGTATTGAATGCAGAGACACTTTTCCATCGCCTCGCCGAACTATTTCCAAGTGTGACATTGATGCCTTTCTTCAGTTGCTCACTGCGGATATGACTGTGTTTTTGTGCCGTCTTTGTCATCCATGCTTTGAACTGTTAAACGCCAAAAAAAAAAAAAAAAATCACACCGCATCTGAACATAACTACAGGGGGCCTCGGTTTATGACGTCGTTCCGTTCCTGCAACAGCAGAGTAACCTGAATGCATACTGTAAGTCGTAACGTGCTGTTGTCTTTCACCAACCTCCACTAATACAGCAGTGAAGTCATGATTACAGTGCAGGCTGACATGAAAAACACTTCAAAATTACAAATATAAAAGAATCAAATGAAAAACTGGAAGTACGGATCCTCTTGCGAATAGTGAAGATCCGATTAATTGACGCCCCACCAAAAGGTTAAAAGTGTCTACAGATGCGCCACATCGATACTTTTCATATTCGACAGGGCTTTGGCATTGGCAGAAAACCAATCCCATTTTATTTGATTTCTTCCCCAAATATATTCATAATGGGTGCATCAATTGCAGATGGAACTTCAATTATTCGAGGGCCACCACGAATAGCCGGGGTCCAGTCTACCCCACTTCAATAACAGTCTAGTCGTGCCTTGAGATACATGTTTACTCCAAACTTGTATCACCATTTCACTCCAGTTGATAAAAACAGACGAAAAACACTATGAAAGAGAATGTAAAGCATTAAAAACTTTGTAAATATTGACATAATGCTGCAATTCTGACTATAGGCTGCTTCTTCTGGTGTGCCCACCTTGGGCACTCGGAGGTAGTGATGTATATAATAGTCATGTAGACAAAGGAAGAACAATATGTTGCTCTGATATTATTCATTTTTTGGAAGAGTATCGTTATCTTGTCTGTCTACATGTGCTGTTACACCATTTGTGTAAAAATATCTGTTGTTTAAAATGTTGTAAAGCTGCCTATTGATGCTAGCTCTTAGCATGGCGATGACATTTTTGATAAATGTTAGCATTAAGGTAGTGGGGGGGGTTGTTGTTAAGGCAACTGCATTGAGATCTCATGTGCCATAACTATTCACTTTTTAGTTGCGCTGGTATGCTTTCATCACAAACAGACTCAGTCCAAAAAAAAACAAAAAAAACCACAAAACGATTCAGTGTAAATCCAATTTTACATTAAATGGAATAGTGCGCTTATTGTTTGTTTGCAGCAAAAAAGTACAAACTAGAAAAACAGTTGTATTCAACTTTATTAATTTCTTGTGCTTAAACATGTTTTTGGGTTTTTTTTTTTAAGTGTGTGGAAGTGTCTTGGCACATCAGATGTACCGTATATACACATTCTGTGTATTTAAAAAAAAAAAAAAAACTACACACAAAGTTGTTGCATGTTTGCAGTTGTGTATTAAATAAAAGGCATCTCGACTCCCACAACGTGCTTAATCCTTAATAGAACTCTTTCGAATAAATAACCCATTTGAAGACATTTGTATACTGTTCTGAATTTGGAAAAGGTGTGGGGAATACCCCAAAACCAAAGCTGAGTGACATCCCTTCACCTTAAAGCGTTAATTAGCAGAATGAGCCGCATGGCATGAACTTGATGACATTTAATTAAACCAAAGGGGGGTGAGTAATGTGACACGCACTTGGCATCCGTCTCAAATACTTTTCACAACGCGTGACAAGTGACAAAAGAACAAGCCAAATGACATTCAAACGATGCAAAACAGCAGGTGAGCACATTGCAGTGGAGTTTGTCATCGGATGTTAACATATAAAGTTGTCGTATTTTGCTAAACTTTACACCTGCACCGTATTTTAATGAAAGGTGTTTTAAAAGTTTTGGATGCTATTGAGTTATATGAGAAGGGGTTACAAAAGGGAATCATAACAAGGATTATTTTCCTTCCCTTCAAACTCACGTAATCTGCTTTTAAATGCATAATGCTTAACAATAATGACACAGGGATGTGATGTTACATCATATAATACATTGGAAAATGAAAGATATCCTACAGTGCATTTAAGAAAAAATAAAAATAAAAAACACAATCCAACAAAAGTTGATAACAGATAAAGAAGAACACAAATCATCATGAATGCATTCGGAATAATTCAAGTTGACAAGTGTGGGTGATCATGACGCTCTTTTTTTTAAATTTTTTATTATGAGATGACTCACACTGTGAAAATGAGCCAGTCCGCTTTTTATACACGTCACCGTATGGTTGATAAACAAATACAAACACATCACAATAAATCTGCCTAGGGTAGGAAATGTCTTGACGGTTATTCAATCCAAACATTTATTACACGGATTTCGTCAACAACCACATAGGGAAATACATCCCAGAAGGCCATTTCTTAGCTCATTAATGTGCTTCCTATGCAAAATTGCAATTTCAGCAGATGGTGAATTGTGGGTATTTGTTCAAATCATGAAATATTTCACTCTGCGTGGAGCAATTAAATAGTTTCACTTATTTCACTAAATCCTCATTTATTAAAATCCATTTGTACATCAAAAGGACAAATGTGAAGAAAAAAAAAAACACTACCTTGGCAGTGATTGACATGTACATTATCTGTGCAAAAATTTCCAAAGGTCAATTAACGGGCACATGTAGCACGTCTTGAAAACTATTTACACATCACATTTTAAAAGGCATGTCCTATGTTACATATTTACTTACAAAATCAATGGAATTAAATACATTTTTTTATACTGACAATTGGCAACTTGTTCAAAATGTAAACTACAGCAAGTGAAGGTCTTAAAAAAAAATAAAAATTACAGGCAAATGTGAATAAAGCCTCTTTACACACACAGATCCCACAAAATTTGCCAGGATACAGAAATATATGGATTGCAATTTACAGTCTTCTACTGTCCCATTTACAAACATTGAACTGTCTCATCATTGCAGAAAAAAAACAACAACTTTACAATTAAAGTGGTGCCCTGACTAGGGAGTTGAGTTTGTTACATGTCAACGCTCATAAACCAAAACACTTGCATTTCAAATCATTTTTCCCCATTGAAATGAATGGAAATACCATCAATCCGTTGCATTAAACAATCGTACTTACTGTACTTCATAAAAGCATCCAGTCATTACATCATAAAATTGAATCTATTGAATTAAACAGTTTGCATGTCATGATCCCACGATTTAATTTGTTGTGCAGCTTCTTCTCGTGTACGTATGTATGCGTATATACAAGAAGACGACAGTCACAACTGCTCAGAAGTCGCAGTGATAATAGTCATACCATTGTCTCTGTTTTTATGTTGACTTTTTCAGTAAACCTCAACTGGGAGTGGCACTCGACAGCTTGAAGCAAGCCTGTGGCGTCTACGTTATCTGCCAAACTGTTGCATGTTGTGGATTTGGCTACCTCCGTCTAGTACTTGCAAATCGAGGTACCACCATTCTTGGAATGGGGACATTCCAAGCCAACTCGGATAATGTGCCACATGCCACTTCACCAAGTCATGATTAAGTATAGCATGACAATAAGAACCCCGCCAAAGCAGGAAATTGAAGAAAAGGATAGGCGTGAGGATAATGAATACAGTTTTAACTTTTTTTTCCCAGTTATGTTCCGTAGTCCTAAAAGCCACGTGTGGGTTAAACAGATTATAAGGGAGTGACTCCCCTATGTCTGGTCAGAACCTGACAGCAGTTGTAAAACTCGCATGCATCCTGCCATGTCATTTTCTGTCGGACCATTTGTTCTGGCTGCTTTAGATACAGTTTACGGAGGTATAAAAATCAGTGCTTGACAACATACGTACGTACCGGGGCAGAGTACGAACACAAGTACAAACATATCCTTGCTGTACCAGAGTTTTTTTATCCCCCCCAACAACAAATGTCCGATTTTTTCTTTTTTCGAGAGGACACAACGTGTAATTCATGGACCTGCGACTTTTGAGTTTTGTAACGTTACAAGTGGAGTCCTGCAGAGATCAGTTCTTAGCCCTCGATTGTTTACCACCTACATGCTTCCACGTGGTGACATTATATGTAAAAATAAAATTTGTTTTCACTGCTATGTCACTGATACCCAATTATATAAAAACTTGCACAATTCCTGTAATTGAAAGGTGTGCCTTACGGAAATTAAACAATGGATGGCTTTCATTTTTTTTTTCCTTTTAACTCCGATAAAACCGAGATGATTACAACACTCTTGAGTCTTCATAAAAGTACTATTGCCCAAAGTGATTCAGCAAAAAAAAAAAAAAATCTGTTTTATATTTGACTCAACACTCTTTTCAAATGCACATGAAGAATATTACTAAAACTCTTGTTTTTTTTTCACCACTGCAATATTGCTGAAATCCGTCCGATTATATCTGCTAGTGATGCAGAAATCTGAATTGTCGTTGATATGAAAACAGATCTGCACTTTCAACTCCTTACTTTGTCAAAATAGGCTTATGATTTTCTCCAACCTGATACCTGCGAGTTGACTTTGTCACCACCATTCTGTAGTTGTTGATACAGCAATGCTGTTGATAGCTGGCTTTTCCAGGCTGCGTAAAAGTGGCTCGGAAGGAAATCTTTCTGGACTGACAAAGGTCCTTCCCTGTGTCTCTTTGTCACACACTACAGTAGATGTGTTTAAATGTAAAAATAAGAGTCGGACGGCTCTCCGCTCTCCCTCATCTCACTCAGCTGCTTGTTGATGGATTCCTGCAGAGAGCCCAACGAGAGTTCCAAACCGAGACTGCTTCGCTCTTCCACTGGAGAGCCCTGAGGGAGCTCCAGGAGAACATCTGAGGGCTCGGCGTCAACCAGCTCCTCTCCGTCGCTGAGTTTCAGTCTGTATGCGCCTTTTGTCTCCGCAGCGCTTGTTTCCGTGGCAACCGTTTCTACAGCAACCTCATCGCCAGGCGTGTCTCGCAGCGCAACGTCGGTGGCGCTGGTGTCGGCATTTCCGACTTTGGAGGCCCTGAGAGAGGCCAGTCTCTCGATTTCCTGAACGAGTTCTTCGTTCTGCTCCTTCCACTGGCGGTATTTTGAGGCTGTCACGGCAGGACCTTCCAGAATTTTGTTGATCTGCTGTAATTCAGCTTCCTTGGCCTGGAGAACAACGTAGGGGTTTAATTCCTCAGTATCTACTATTGATCTGTCGCTCTGTCGATGAAAAGGCATAGGCCGCGATCCAAAGCATACCACATCATGGAGCCATTTATTGCCACAGATGAAATCCATTCGCCAGGTATGTTTAGAAATGGGTAGGCATGGAAGAGGGTTTTTCCCACCTTGTCTGGGAAATTCAAGCTTCTATATATGTAATGACAAAAGATGCCAGTAGATGGCAGTGTTGCAGTAATTCGGATTCGAGATCAGCACAGTTTTGAGTTGAAAATAAAGAGTCGGAGGTGACTATGTGACATCCATTATGAGGGAGAGAAAAGCCAATATGTTGAAAGTCGGAGAAGTTTAGACACTTGAACAGAGAATGTATAAGTATTGTACTAACAGAGTATGAGTCCCGGTAGTTCGTAGAAAGTGTGTATTCTGACCATGAGCAAAGACGACAGTTCATGGAGTAAATGGCAAACTATTATTTGGCCATCAAAAACAATTTCTCAGTCTAGTTTTTGTTGTTTTACAGTTTGAATTGTCACAAAACCAATAAAATAAAAAATAAAAAATTTTGTATGTTTCTTTTGATAAAACCAACCCATGTTCTACTGCTGCTTGTTAAAGAATGGGAAAAGCTGGAAACAAATGTTATTTTTGGTGGAAAAACAAAGTCTATCTTTCACAGAACTCAATATTTTGTCGGTCTTGGAAGGACAGTTAATATGCTGAAAAAACGGCTGGCAACACTGTATGTGGGACTCTGCTTTGAAAATGGCTGGCAGCGAATTGTTTCAGTTTTTGAAAATCTGGTCAAATGGTGCACTCCTTTGGGCCTTTATTTCTCTACCATTAATCAACAATCTATTCCACTAAGTTACTATACTGGATGGTTAAATGAACTTGGGAGAGCGAAACCAAAGCATTGGTTTCCCCCCCCCCCCCCCACCCCCAACGATCCACACTCACCTTCAGGGTGCTCTGCAGGGCACGGAGAGTATGCGCTTTCTCATTGATGACGGGGTTCTTGTTGCGCCGGATGAACGACCTCCTGAAGTGATCGTGTGTAAACGGCTGCTCTTGGCCCATCAGGGACACGCCTCCTTCCTTGATGTTATTCAACATTTTGCCCATTTCGTCTTCTGGGGCGGCTGGAAACCACCACGTGTGAAGTTTAGTCAACATTAGTCAGGAGCAGGCATGAATGGAAGTATTCTCATACCTTTGCTGCCCCCTGTTGTCGGACTTGGCAACGGCACCTTAGTGTTGGTCTTGCGCTTGGAGCGAGGTAGGGTGCTGGACTGCACTTTCTATCGCACATCATCATCAACACCTTTTAAGATGAATTGCTCCGAAACAATGTGTTTACTTTTGCAGGTGCACTGACCTTATTTCTCCTGCGGGGCGAAGGGGATACCTCAGTCTCGGATTCTGTCTCACTGTAACACTCTGTGTTGAATGCACATGCACAGTCAAGGTTTGTTTTTTTTTTTTTTTTTTTTTTTTTTTTTTTTTTTTTTTTTTTTCGACCAGAAATGAAAGTATGTTGTTATATCTATTATTTACAACAGATATATCTATCAATGTCGGTAACATACAGTAGAGCCTTGAGATACATGTTGAATTGGTGCAGCGACTGTACTCGTAAATAAAACCATTCCAGCCTCCCCAAAACACAACAAAAAATGCAATAGGATTTTTTTTTCAATGAGGAAAAATAGCCATCTATAATCTTGCATTGGCTCACAATTTGCGATGCAAGTAAATGGAATTACAATCGCAGTCATGGAAGGATTTAAATTTGTAAGTCGAGGTACGGCTCGACATAAATTTGGGGAAATTTATGTTTGGTGGTGTGCTGTGAGATTTTTTTTCCATGTAAAATATATGTCATTCACCTTTTTATAAATAACAAGGCTACTTTAGCATTAAAAAGCGCTTCTACATACCAGTGTCATAGACATGATGTCAGCATCAAAAATACGGTATTGTTTGTCATTACAAATATTGACTAAAGTATTATTTTTCACTTAAATATGACACAACTTCATTTAAAATTTAAATGCCATTAAGTGGGAAGGTACCTTCTTCGCTGTCTGGGCCCGGACTGAACTTCTTATGTTTCTGAATTGCTATGATGAGACAGTTTATCCACCTATGGAAAACAACATATTTATAAAAAAATGTAACAATTGACAACATTTTAAACGTTCATAAATGTTTTACAAAAGGCGTCATGTTTGACAAATAAAAAAAAATAAGTGTTTTAATTAATGATGGGGATTGTCTGCAATATTAACTCTAGGGGGCAGTGTCGACTAACACTTCAGGAAAGAGCTGACACTTTACATGTCACCTTGCAATTGTTTTGAATAATTTTTCTAAAATAAACGTCACATCAACTGTGGGCCCAACTTACTTGCTCATGTCGCTGACATTGTCGGCAGCGAAAAAGAAGTTGTGAAATCGCTGGTGGCGCATTTTGAACACACTTCAGATGGGAGAGAATGACTTGGAATTAATCACATCGTATGTGAAACACTCAACGAAACCAAACAGATTTGTCGTTACTATTTTCTCTTGTGCTCGCCAGCGCTCTCTATGATGTAACTTGCGATGTTGACAAATCCCTCCGCCTTCTCGTCCTGCATAGTAAAGAATGAAAAGATGGGTCAAAATGGATGCATTAGACACGACAGCAACACATCTAAAATCAAAACCAAACTGTGAAGGAGTCTTGAAGTACATTTTTAAATTCCTTAACTGTCAATAGCATAATTATTGAAAACAAATCGCAACAATAAAGATTGTTTGTATCCCAATAAGAACTTCAACTCATCTTGAATTGCATTTCAAGTACCTGTACGTGAATTGAACCATATTCGCACCTGTTGGCTGGTGTACCAATAGAGGGACGGCCCCTTGAGGACGAACCAGAAGCGTTGCCACTTCTGGGCGATGAAGACGCTGCTCTCCTTCCTCTTCTTCCACAGCCAGCCGTCGCAGTCGGGCAGCACCAGCTCTCGACAGGACACGCGGCGGCGACTAAGGGCCGCTGTCATTCCTGGCATGGGATGAAATAAAATGATCCGGATCGAAAAAAACCCGGCTGTAGTCAGTTGTATTCTCAAGACGTACCTTTGGTTGAACTCTTCTTTGTCTCCTGGTGTCCCTGAGAATCGAGCGGAAATTGACTCAGTATCTGTTAGTTTAATTCAAACGTCTGGTAGGGCTGGGCAATTCATCAAAATGTAATCATGATTTTGATTTTGGCTTCTCACGATCATAAAAAGCTTACAATTGAAGAAAAACCATGACTATGCCGAGCGGTGCGGCCTGTGTGTTTGCGAATGGCTATGTTGTGAAACACCTTTGTTGCTTGTGCAGCAAGCATGCTAATGCTAGCAAGCAATGACCCATGAAGAGGCTAATTGAAAATTAGCATTTCATTATAGGGGTGATATTCCTTCAAAAGTCCTGATCCAATCAAAGTGATTGGAAATCACGAGAGTTTCAGCTGATTGGGGAATAAAAGATTGGTGCGCACAGTAGAACCGGACGGCATTAATTTGTTGTTTTTTATTTCTATTATTTAAATATACTATTCTTTCACCTTAAAACTAATTGATGTTTTTGTTGTTCTTTCAACTTGTATTTTAAACTTTAATAGTGGTATCTTAATAAATACAAAGTTTTGAATTTCTAAATCTTGATTCCAATATCAATTAAAAATAATCATGGTGATTCGTTTTTGCCCACAGTCGCCCAGACCTTACGTCTAGTGTTGTCATTTTCTTACCGTGTGGCCAACCATTTCGGGACAGGAACTGACACTCGCTCTCTCCTGGTTTAGTGCCTGCAGTGAAGAACTTCGGTAGAATTCGAAGGGTGAAGTGCTTCGTGATGAGGGCGAGAGGTCCCTTGTCTGGTTGAGGCCCAGGGAAAGTCTCGAACCGGCCAAACTTTCAAATTCTCCTAGAAAACGCAAATGTAGAGACGTTACCTCAGACTTTTTTGACATACGTGGAGAACAAGAGAATAATGTAGGAAAAGTCAACTGGAGGACTTGGTTGCTTCTGGAAGTGTTCTACCTGAGACTAACTGTGACGATGGAGCGGCTTGCGGAGTGAGCCTGCCTTCCAGCTCCTTATCGGTGGACAGCTCTGATTCTTCCTGTCCCATAGGGTCCTCAGTCACCTCTGGCCCTAGAACGGCTCTCCTGCGCAGTAAAATATACACAAACTGAGATTAAAGGAAATCAATGGTATTGTAGTGCTACACGCGGCTGATTTAAGATAAGAAGTGGAAGACGGATGGCTCAATGAATGACCTTAATGGTCAACAGTGTGCACATCTGAGGGTTAAAAGCAGACCACAGAGAACTCCTGCATTTTGCAGTTTGTTTTTTGACATCACTCTTTCATCACAACGCACAACACTACAGTAAACGGAACCACTATCTGATGAGCATACAAGAATTCAGTCCTGAAGAGCTTTCGAAATGAAACGTTGAACTTAGTTCAGCAATAAGTGAACGTGTTGTTCTTCCAAAAGGATTACAATCCTCGCCCAGATGTTCATCCCTCCTACTACATCCATTTATCAGGGAGCATCTGTTCGTCATCACCCCTCACTGTCTCTTCTGGCCCCATCACTCTGTCTCCTCCTTTTCTTTTCCCTCCTCGTTGGAATCTTTCCTGCATGTATCACAAACTCCCTCGGCTATTCATCTTTCTACTCATGTCTTCCTGTGTGCGCAGTGTGGAATTTATGGCATTTGCACTCTTATTCCAACTACTGTGTCCTGGTAGTGAATGAGGTTAAAGTGCTACTAGCAGGTTCCATTCAAACAAGTAAAGCGTTTCCACTCGCTCGTCTGTACTGTCTGTAAATTGACATTAATGAGCAATGAAACTTTGCTTTAACCCTTTCAGGAACAGCGGCTACTACAGTGGACACCTTATGATGTTAACAGGTTACAGGGTGCCTGAAAAGGGTTAAACATCAATTAGCATATGTGGAGCAGCTAGCTGGCTCAAATACCGGTAGTTACTCACAACATACGTAGTTTTAGTTTTGTAGTTAGAAGTAAACCTGTAGTTTTATTTAACTGGAGAGCTAGTTGGCTAGCTGCCTAGCTATATGAACAAAAAAGGAAAAACGATCACAGGACAGCTTTCGCAAGAAAATCAAGTAGGATTAAGATTGTTACCTGAAAGACAGGGACCGGACTGAAGCTGCTACCCTCTCAAAAATGGAGTGCCTCGGATTGTCTTCTTCGCCCTCTTCTTCCTCTTCCTCCGAACTCTCCTCTTTGTAGCAGTCCTCCTCCTTTCAACAAGGTTATCAACACAGATACAAGCACGTGAGTTTCATTTTTGATACTGTTGTAGGGTCTTGGCATAACCAACACAACAGTGCAAGTCAGTTAGTTAGTTAGCTAGCAAGTTACTTGTGTGACTCACAAAGTTATTTCTCAGTTAGCAGAATGCTAAAACTCCATTCTCTTGCTGGTATTGGGTAGTTAACAGTGTAGATTCCTAGGGAGCAAGTCTCAAGTTAGTTGAAGCTCCATCTTCCTTGGTTCCTTGGTAGGATCACTTATAATTTGTTCGTAGGTATTTGTTTAAATTGATTTGTCATTGCTGTGCTCGATAACTAGCTTAATAGCAAGTTGGCTATCGATCGCTGGTATTCATTGACAAGTGTTTTATTAGTCTGGATTTATTAGTCAATGAGTCAGTCAGTTTGTCTGTCAGCTGTTTAGTTAGTTAGTTAGTTAGTTAGTTAGTTAGTTAGTTAGTTAGTTAGTTAGTTAGTTAGTTAGTTAGTTAGTTAAATTGTGAGTGAGTTAGAATTGTTTACGGGGACTAACCCAAGTGACACAAAATTCCAACCATCCATTAATGATTTGAACCGGACACGACTGTGTGTCGCTGGTGTATTTTGACTGCAGCGTCACATTGAATTTGTAGCAGAACTGAATGATTAGAGTGGATGAGTCTCTTTCAATGACCTGCGCAGTGAAGGAGCACTGGCCTGGGCCTCTGCGACACAGTGAGCCCGAAGACCTTTTTATGACCAGATTGACGCCGCTGGGATTCTCCCGTAACTTCTTCACGAGGTTAGCCCTGCTCCAGCCCACCTAAAGCAATGAAACACACACAGTTCTTTGACATAGAGATTCTGCAAAACTATTCCATCAGAACAGTTAACAGAAGATTAGGAATTTGTCATGGAATTCTGCAAAAGCAGGATAAAAAGGTAACAAATTGTCGGGTACATCGCCGCTACTACCTCCCCTTTATTTATTCGCTTTAGGCGGAATATTGGGTTGGCGAGGCAATCAGAGTTACATATGATTACATTTGACGATATGTTTTGCTTTTCTTTTTCAATACTTCAGAGCAGGTTATTTATTTCTGTACTTGAGAAGGTTATGAAACAATTGCTCATCCTGTCTGCATTTGCCTTTCACATTTTTTATGTCATTAAAATTATGACAGTGTCTTCATATGACTGAACAGTTAAGAATGTTAAAAAGTGTGACATTTATCTGTGACCCCACTTCACAGGACTTTTTTTTTTTTTCATCTTAAGACTGAGGACCAAATTCACAAAAGAATTATGTGGCGCTAACCGGTAAAAATGGAGCACACAGATCTAACTCACAAAGCACGCGCAGATTGGTAAAATGCTTCAATGGTGTCTTGGTGCTCCGGTGTTATTTGGGCACCCGTTAGATGAGTGTGCGATTGTTTTTAAATTTTACCAACAGCAGCGGTTAAGTCCTTTGTATACTTGTAGAATGTTTACAGTGCCATTTCAAACAGTGCCTATACCCTGAATAAGATTATATCGCCATGCAACATATTATATTATTACTGTAGATGTTATTTCCAATGGGGAAAAAAAACTCACCACGATCTGATTGTTGACTTTGATCACTTCATCTCCAGCCAGGATCTTTGCGACTTCACTTGAAGGCTAAAGAATGACGCAAATAAAGACAACCTAAGTGGCACAAGAGCTTAGTCGAGAAAGAAGCATAGTGGGGGGGGGGGGGAAAAACAACCCCAATTCATCATCTTTCTGATGTGACACCCGAGTGTACAAACTGTGCATCCCAGTTTAGCTCTCAATAGAAAGAAGCTACTTTTACATCAGTGCTTAGTGTTAATTCACCTTGTCAACCAAGAAAAGTACCCAAACAGCTCCAAGCAGTTTTTAAAAAGAGCAAATGGTAATAAAATAGGAGATAATTCTTCCGATAGTTGTTGACCTTCACCCACAAGAGCGATCCAGCTGTACATGTAGCAGCTGATGATCACTACCCCCAACCCTCAATCACTCCCCTGTTTGCTTTACACGCTTAATTAGCTTCGGTTAGCTCTAAAAACAAACGCGCCGATTGTCCATCATTTGGATTATTTTCCACCAAAGATAACGTGTTGCAGACATTTAAAAAGAGATGTAGCCACAGTGCAAAGCGCTCCATTGTGATGCAGAGTGGAATGTTGAAAAGTAACTATGGAAACCGCATATCGCATATGTGGCTTTTATGTTGATGATCTCTCTGCATGTAGGCCACCAGCGCCAGGCATTAGAATCTTTGTGTTTATGATCATTTTTCTGATAAATGGGGGACCTGAGCATGACCAAAAAGTCAGATTTGTGTGCGTGTTTGGATGTATTTTTGCTCTTGATTTGGGTTTAAAAAGTTTGGGAATCTAAACTGGGTGGAACGCGGAATCAAAAGTAAGAATCATTTGGAAGTTGGATTTTTTTTTAATTATCATTATGTTTTGGTAAATGTGTGGGGCGAGGCAGATTTTTGTTCAATTTCTCTGCTTTAAAGTTAAACAAATACTAAAGGCCAAAGTATTGGTAAACATTCAAATGTTCTGCCGAGAAAAAAAAAAGAAAATTACTGGGGTTTTTTCCCTCAGCCAATTTTATTCTGCCAGAAATCTGAATTGGCCTAAAAAAAAAAAATCAGGCTTGGTCAGACCCTTGTCAAAAGTTGAAATGGATGGAAATGTAAGGCTTTTGATAGTATGGTTAAAGCTTCTCTAACAACAGTCTGACCTCTGCTGCAGTTCCGGTCACATAGTGGTTACTGGAGCCAATGGATGTTATCTCGATGCCCTGGGACAGACAAAGACAATGAGGGAGGAAAATAAAGACACACACACACACACACACACACACACACACACACACACACACACACACACACACACACACACACACACACACACACACACGGGAGCATTGTTCAGTCATCACTGTGTGAAATATCGATGCCTGTCTCCAGATGTATTGACGGCTCTCTCGGTAATTAGCCATGAGCTTGCTCTGATTCATTTCATTCAACCATAGGAGCAAGCTAATCTCACCCTCGAGACCCGATCGATACGTTTCCCATGACTACACAGAGTAGATTTACACTCGTTGCCAAATTTCTCAAACTGTTTAGTCACTAAAAGAGCGATCTTCATCGCAGAAATATACCATCGAAGAATATTCCCATGCAAATGTGCTTGCTTTTATTCATCGCTTGAAAAATCAAGAATCATTGTTATTGCAAGTTACGTTACTTGCTGCAATTAGTTAGCTTCCCCATTCATCTCCATCTTACTTATAAAGTTACAAATGAATATCTAAAATCATAAAAGAACCAAGCTTTCAATGAAATAAAACAATATTATAAGAGTTAAATATTAAATAAATACCAATATACATATTACACTGTCCAAAGTTTTAAGTAAAACCACAGCCGAATATAACATAAATGCATCTCTTTGCCAAAGTTTCATTTAAAATAAAGTCTCAAACCAAGGGGAACCCCCCCCAAGCATTTCTGTTAAATTACATATAAAACATAACTAATAATACATCTCGATGTTAATCAAAATGTATTGATTTTTTTTTTTTTATTTAAGAGCTCCTGAAAGAAAATGGTACAGATGACAAAGAGCAATCAGGAGTGACATTGTGATCATGCAGCAGGCAAGCTCGTCACTTTCATGAGAAGGGGAGGAAAGTGAACTGAATAGAGGTGCCCCTTTGAATAAGAATAGGACGCGAGACGATGATGCTAAAAGAGGCAAATGAGTGAAAAGGAGGTGGATTCATTGCTTTGAGTGCATCGGCTTCGGCGCGGTGTATTGTTCAACCGGTTTCATAAGGCATCAACGACCTTGAGTTTGAGAGAAGAGGCAGGCAATGACGTAAACTAACGTTGAAAGCACATTTAAAAAAAAAAGACTGAGGAGGAAGAGGTAAGTTTGGTGTGTTTGAAGGTCACTGTGAGTGAAAACTTCAGATGGACACTAAAAATAACAATAATATAATAATAATAAAAATCATTATAATAATCATAAAAAAAATAAAAAATTACCAGCTGGTCTCCGGGTGAAGCGGGCACCAGGTCGACACTCTCAAGCTGTGTGGTATTGGTGAGCAGAGCTTGCGGACTGCAGCTCAGGATCTCGTCGCACACCACCACCAATTGACGGCACTTTGGCCACGTGAAATGGGATAATTATTTAAAAAAAAAAAAAAAAAAAAGAGGGATAAAATAGCACATTTGAAGTGACTTACCACAGAGATGATGTCCTTCTCTTTTTCGTAGACGCTTGTACGTTTCTGTTAGATGGGAAAACGGCACATGGTCAATATGTATGTCATCTAATACTGATGAGTGATATTGACTGGTAGTGTTATGCGGAAATGGGACAAGCTCAAAAAAACAAAAAAAACAAATCAGGGCATTTCCTGTTTCCGAATCACTTACTGTGGATTTTATGACTGAAGCCTATGGGCAAATAGTGGACAACGTCTGTATCATATTGTATTGTACTTTGTAAAACAAACAGTGACCACATACTCAAGTACAATAATTGAAAATAAATCTGTTATACAATGTTGTTTTTGCCATACTTTCTTCTTCAGTTGTGCTGCTCATTGTGGCGTGTGCACCATGACCACGTGGGGGCAGTATAACAGACAAAGAGTGAGGTGTCTCAATTCTGATCAGCTCATCAGTACGGCACTAATATTAGCCATTCATTTGGCACAAGGATCCCTGTTGCCAAATGGTCTGCCAACGTGTTGCTGAACTATTTGTGTTCAGATATCCAGTGCTTAAAAATCATTTTTGACCCCCTTAGCCTGACCTGAGTTAAGCTAAATGGCTGCTTGGTTTAAAACTAAAAACAAACTGACTCGCTAACCAAATAAACCAGTGCCTGTGAGTAATTGCGAGATTTACAGAAGAAAGGCAAGGCAGCTTTATTTGAATAGCACATTTCAGACACAAGGCAACTCAATGTGCGTCACACAAGCAAGGACACAGCATCGAAAAGTATTTACACAACGGTTTACGACCTTCATAAGCCAACCAGCGAAAAGAAAAGTAGCTTACCAAATTATTCAAAGAACGTACATTGGCGGCATTTAAACACATTCACACATCTTTTAAAAGTTAAATAAAGAAATAAAAGTAGGCCTCTAAAATTGCAGGGTCAACAACACTGCCACATAGCTGCTGATTGTTAGCTTGTATGTTCACCATTGTTTGCTAGCATTGGCGTTAGAGCCACAATTTGGTTACTTTGAATAGATTTAGTCTACAGTCTACAGATGTATGCAGCTGCTCACTTTTATGAACACCTTAAAAACACTTTTAGATGGACAATGAGATAGGGGGGATTGAAGGAAAAGAGGAGGGCGGATGTGTACACCACGCAGAGCACTCAATGGCGAGACTCCCAAGTGCAACAGGGAATTACGAAGCTCTTTCGTGAGTGCCTAATGAAGTGTTGATTACATAAAAGCTTGTGAAGGGCGACTAATCTCTGCGAAATTGCAACAAAGAGGCCACAGTAGCAAGATTTTTTTTTCAAACTAATTAAACAATGCATTAGGCAGTGTGACAGCCAGAGGTAATTGCTGTTTCCAGTTTTCTTTTTTTTGTCTACTACACCGCCTTACATAGAATGCCCAATCCTGTCAACACTTCAAGAGATATTCATTACGTTTATTCGCAGAAAGAGGAGTAGCACCTTTTTCTTTGCAGCATTTCAATACTTGAGGTTACACACCGTTCATACCTGTCACTGTCAATTATTATTTATTTTTTTGGAACACATCACATCTGTCACAGCAGGAAACGACTGTGGCTACAGGTTCGCGAGAAAACGATGTTCCCACACTGACCATGTCAAATGAGAGCCCGCAGCATGTTTCCGCACAGATAATTTTTTTTTTCTCATGGAGATTGCTACCATTTGACACCACTAGGAGTTCAAAAGATAAACTTTAAAATATGTCTCAAACTGGGACTTGTAATACCAAGGCAAAGAGATTCCCCTTTTAAGGTCAGCCAATAAATGACTCAAAGTAAGTAAATCATATTATACCAAAATGACACATCGGAACCCATTTTGAACAAGTGTGGAGAAGTATTAGGATACTGATGTGCGACATTATTAGGGGCAAAGGATTTTGAAAAATGTATTTTTGCCCTTGCCCCAATATTGCGATTTAATATGTCATCAACTCCTTACCCGAAGCTGCAGTCAGAAAAAAAAAAACCTTTAGAGGTAAATTTTGAAACTGAAAGTTGCATCTTGAAAGGCCCATCTTTATTTTCTTCATCAAGGTCTCCTTCTCATGTGTTTAAAGGACCGACTATGCGAGTGGATAAAAAGAGAATGTACTGTGCTGTTTTGGGTTATGTGGCTCAGTGTCTGTGTGTGCATGTGTGTGTATGTGTCTTTGGCCCAAAGCTGCTCTCTCCATGGTTGTCAAGGAAACAAAGACAAGCTTTTTTTTTTTTTTTTTTGTGGGAGTATGGGAAAATAAGGGAACCCATGGAGATAAAAAGACAAAAGCCTTAATTGAGGGTTCAAATATGCAAAACTTGACGTACATTGTTTCGTGTTTTATCGTGAAAACAGTGTCGCAAGCCGCCGTTCTGTCTCCGGCATCAAGTTTACATTCATCAAATGTTTTCTATTTGCCAGCAGGTCAACAGCCGGCTATAAAAAGACTCTTGCTTCTACCAGCTTCTCATTTTTCCACATCACTGCTTTACTTAACCTCTGTAAAGGTGACATCATTCCCATTTTAAATCTTGATTTTTTTTTTCGTTCATAATAGCGTCAAAGAGCTAAACTTGTGAAAAGACCCGATAAGGATTTTTTAAAATTTTGTTCCCGGGCTTCCTGTACAGTTTGGAAATTCTTCATAATAGCGTCAAAGAGCTAAACTTGTTAAAAGACCCGGTAAGGATTTTTTTTTTAATTTTGTTCCCGGGCTTCCTGTACAGTTTGGAAATGTCAGACACTTGAAAGCCATACAAATGAATGGACATGATTTAATCTGTAAAAACGCTGCACGCAACTCTGAATGGTAAAATTTAATATAAGCTACTCAAGTAGGTGGTTGCCATGGAGATGATGCAAGGCTAGCTGCCTTATGACAAACATATAGCGGAAAGCCTCAAAAGTGAAATATTTTTTATCCCTGCGCCAAAAAAAATAAATAAATTATTGCAAATTATTGCTAAATTATTGCATAAGCAGATCAACAAATATCATGGGAGAGTTCAGCTCAGTGAGCATTTAAAACAGTGCTGGACAAAATATGGCTCCATTCTGTAATTCGTTTCCCTGAGCATGTACAGTCATGTTAATGAAGAGTTATGTTAATTAAAAGGTCTTTTTAGATGAAAATAAAATGTTTTAGATATTTTAGTTGGGGTTTTTCTCCCCCCCTTTTTCTTGACCCTGGGCCTGGTTTTAAAAAAAATGAAGTGAGGCCTTTGAGCACAAATCTTTGCAAACCCGTGATAAAGGATTAACACCATGTTTTTTTTTTTTTCCTTTTTCCATCGACACTTAATACCGGCAACAGCAATAAAATAACAACAGGTAACGCAGTATCACCCTGCAAAAACAATCTTCAATTCAGTGCCTGTCAATGTTTTGACACGCTCACATTCCCAACTATGGACAACTTAAGAGTTTTAAAGAACTGACTCATGTTTTTGTTTGTGCTCTTCCTGAAACATTCTAAGATGTCACAAAATGCTGCCAAAGTTGACAAATGGCCATTCAGACTCACAGTCACACCTATGGGCAATTTCGAGTTTTCAGGGAGGAAGGAGGAAGGGAGCCACAGTACCAGAAAAATCACATCACACCATCAGATCCACGTACCTCCAGCGTAAAGCCTCCACATTTACGTCCACATCCAGGTTCAAAGTTCACACATCTTTCACCCTTCCTAGCGCACGCGCGTCCTTGCTGGCTGACCAACTTCAACACTGTCTCAGCTCAATCCACAGCAGGCTGGCCGAGTGCAGCGACAACGTGCAACACATACCAGCTGACTTGCAATTGTGGTGGCCCTTGGGCTGGTGGGAGGCATAACAGCACGCACACTTGACCAAACAGGAAATAAGAGTCCTTTCTTCGCTGTCACGCATGAGAAGCAGCTCTCCTGTGCTACTGATGTGACCTGTTTGTTACGCTTTACAAACACACATGCCGTAATGTGACTCACCCACACATACAGGACACGCTACAAATACAGTACATGTGTGTGGATATGGATGAACACACACTGGCTGCAGTTTTATAATGCAGCGACGACAGCTTCAAGAATTTGTGAGATTTCTCCTCTACAATGGCATCAACACGCAGCCTTGATGAACAGCTCGGAGTTCATCATGACTTTTCAGTAGTCATATTATTACAACATTTACTCCCAAGTTTCTCATATCTCAGAACGTATTTCTCCGTTGAAATCAATGGTGATCATCTGCAGCGGGCGTGTCATAACTAATTGACATGGTGAGTCGGGTATGTCTTAACCTCCAAGGCAGAGGCTTCGTCGAACCCCTGAGACCGATTCACCGAACCCTGAGGGTTCGATCGAACCCAGGTTGAGAACCACTGCACTACATGCTATTTTTACTGTAACATCAAAGTTGCTTTGTTACTGATATTTAGAGCTATGTTTAGATATTGCTCATAGTCCATTGTACAGCTTGAAACTTTATGACACGAAAAGTTCCATTTCTTGCGCGGTCATCACACTTACCCGCAATCACTGATAAACTCCTGTGCCAAAAATAAACACACACAAAACACGCCTCGCTGCGAAAAAAAAAAAAAAAAAATCACAAACCAAATCGAGAAACCTGAAACTTGAAGCGCAAGAAAAGAGAACCACACAAAGCAATGACCCAAAACACGAGAATACAATAGCATACATAAAAGAATCCAAAAAACAGGAAATGAGGGCACAATAGGCGTCATTATCATGTACAGGGTACAGTGACTTATCATGACGTTCTGATCTTGCCAGTCAATCACTTTTAGCGCAATTCCAACATGCGAGTGGAAAACATCCTATGAGTCAGCTCCATTTCTCTCTTCCACATCACTGGTCAATGAGATACTGTCACTGCTCCTGCATGCCAACACACTCATGCGCCTATTTTTGACATCCTTTTTTTTTTTTAAAATTTTTCACCACATTATAAGCTCATAGTCCATTGTACAGCTTGAAACTTTATGACACGAAAAGTTCCATTTCTTGCGCGGTCATCACACTTACCCGCAATCACTGATAAACTCCTGTGCCAAAAATAAACACACACAAAACACGCCTCGCTGCGAAAAAAAAAAAAAAAAAATCACAAACCAAATCGAGAAACCTGAAACTTGAAGCGCAAGAAAAGAGAACCACACAAAGCAATGACCCAAAACACGAGAATACAATAGCATACATAAAAGAATCCAAAAAACAGGAAATGAGGGCACAATAGGCGTCATTATCATGTACAGGGTACAGTGACTTATCATGACGTTCTGATCTTGCCAGTCAATCACTTTTAGCGCAATTCCAACATGCGAGTGGAAAACATCCTATGAGTCAGCTCCATTTCTCTCTTCCACATCACTGGTCAATGAGATACTGTCACTGCTCCTGCATGCCAACACACTCATGCGCCTATTTTTGACATCCTTTTTTTTTTTGAAATGTTTCACCACATTATCAGCTGCATCATCGTCATTTTCACAGCTGATGAGGCCAGAAGGAATAGAATGAATCAGTGGTGACAAATGCTTGGGGGACGGCAGGGATAACAACAACATTCAGGTTGTGTAAATTACCTGAAAGTATGCTGCACTTCTGCTACTCTCTGTAAATATTTGTTCCTTGTGCACAATTTCATTCTGAAATCACGGGTGAGCTAGAGTAGGCAAACAACCATTCACACTTACTTTTCCCCCACGCCTATGAAACATTTTGAGCCTTCAATTAGCCTATGAAGTGTGTCAAGTTTGTTTAGGTTTATACAATTGTATTTTTGTCCCTTGTTTTCTTATTTTTCTTATCAAGGCACAGCATCTCACACAGTAAAACCAATCAAGCAAGCAATGATATCGTGCTTAAATGTTCTAGCTGTTTTTGAAAAACTACTATAAGGCAAATAGTTTAGGATTTAAGATTTGGGTTGGCCCTGGCTCCATATTCCACTAGACTAGATCCACACTTGCAATGAACAGCGACCAAATCCGATCCACACATTCAGAACCAAAACAAGAGCAAACTGTTGTAAACTAGTTACCTGTTGTTCTAAAATCTGAGCTTGACACAGAGCTGATAGTGGAAAACATTCTTTTTGCTTCTAAAACTATATTTCCCAGACTGTTTTGAAGAAAAATTGTGTAATTATTTTAGTTGTAAAGAGTTCATTTGTATCTTTGCATGTGTCTACAATACATGAACACATTTACTAATCGCAGCACCTTTGTTTTTGTTTTTTCAAACTAGCCTCGTGGGCCATGTCAAATGTCATTTTGAGTATATGCCGCGGGCCAAATAGTGGACAGAGGGCCACAATCTGCCCCGTGCCATAATTTGAACACCACTGTCTTTTTAATTAAATCTTATCTTTTTAATAGAATACAATCTGAAACTCACAACTAACACAATAACTATGACTCTATCTACATATCCATCAAGTACCACCTCAAAAAATTCTTCACACTAAGCCCCAACCAAAACGACTAACGTGAAAATACAGTCGTGCAGTAGTCCTGTAGTAGGTAGTGTTCGTCAGAACGAAGGAACTGATTTATTCCTAAAAAAAACCAAAAACAGCCACTGTAACTTTTCTCCACAGTTTGAACCTTAATAATACACGTAAATATAGGAAAATAAAACGCCTACTCATGATTCAATTAAAATGTATTTCACAAAGTGAAATAAGATGTAGACTTGGTTTTTTTTTAATGCAAAATGTACTGTACTTAAAAGTTAAATGACAACTAAACTCTACTTAACAGTTTTATTCTACTGATTTTAAAAAAGTTTAAGAGACAATATTTAATTGAATGATTTATTTTTTTTTATATATCTCTACAGGAAGCCGATTTAAAGAGGAAGTAACAGTACCTGCAGTGCCGGTCTGAAATCCAGATCAGGGCCTAAATTTAAACTCCTTTAAAATCAGATGCTGGTCTTCCTTCTAGCTTCCCATCTGTAGGCATCTCTGCATTCTTTCACTTTTATTTTTGTTAGGGCCCAAACGTCCCAAGTTAAATAGTCTCGCCTTCCCGCTGCTGTGTTACTATCATACACTCCCTGCGGAGTCAAAAGTCAGTAAGCAGTCACTGCGTAATCCCTCCTTCAAGTCCTCCTCCTCCTCCGCCTTTCACTATCTGTCAAGAGTCACTGGCTCGCTCCCTCCACCATGAGGTGGACAACACATCCAAGCTCATCCCTTCGACTTAGCGTTTGACATTCATCCTTTAAGGACCTCGCTCTCTAATTTCTCCCCCACATCCTGAAAAACAAGCCCCTCACGCAAGTCACATGTCCACAATCCAGCCCTCCTCCTCCTTTCGTCTTCAAGGAACCAGCGCCTTTCAAATATGCCAGGAATGTAGCGATAACGCATGTGAGGCAGGTTGAATATGAGGATCTTGTGCTCTTGTTCAGTTTCAGCCAGTCGTAGTTCCTCTATATGGAGATGCTTAAAAAAAATAAATAAAAAAAAAGCATGTCTTCCTCTTTAAACATAAAAAAAAAAAAAAAATCATGTTTTTCCATCGTGCATACAAGATGGGCAAAGTAATGATTAACTGACATGCCGCTCAACAGGACAAATAGGAGTGGAACGACCATTGCCCCCTCCCCCCATTTGTGGGGTCTACAGTAGCACTGCTGTGACACCCCCTAGAAATGTTATAATTTCAATTCTAAATTATACCACAAAGTATGATCTTAAAACAGTTTGATATCATTTCAAACTTATCTTGTACCAAAACAAAACGGCTCATTTGATTTTGACAAATATTGACGTGTACTGTTACTCCCGCTAACTACCCAGACTAAAATAAACTCATCCCCAACACAGAAAGAGATGCATCACTTCACCATACTTCCTTGACACCGATTGCTATTTAGACAGAGCTTTTGCATCATCGTGTGGCATCTTAGAGCATTTCAGTATGACCACAAAAAACTGGAATATGTGAATTTTTCAACTAACAGATGGGGAAAGATCCCACAGGAATAAAAAAAAAAACAAAAACAAAAGAACGCAAATTGTTTTAATCATAAATAGTGAACCGCAAATAGAAAGGGCACGCTTCTTGCCCAAAGTCAGCTGGGATCACCCAGCAGACCCAGACACAAATGTGGACAAGGTGTACAAGTAGAAATCAGATGGATGGAAAAAAAAAAGACCAACCTTTTGCACAATCATCCCCAGTTCTTTGCACTGGCTCAAGATTTTCTTGCTGGTCGTGCGTGCGCTCACCTGGGAGAGCTGATACCTGACAAGACACAATCAAAATGTACTCGATCAAAATAGCGCAACAGCATTTAAACACAGTGGAGTCGAGCACAAAACATTGTGAGTAGCTGCCGTCCATGTTGTTTAGATTTCTAAATAATTCCAAGTCAAAAGAGAAGCTAAACTCTGTGGAAATGCGGTAAATGATGAAACAAGAAGACAAAGGTGAGTTGTGTCTCCCACTCTTGACACAGCAATCAGCCAGCTACTCTCTCAATTTCAAAATATGCCACCTTTTGCTATGCAGAAGGTGCATAGCAAAAGGTGGTGCACTTGACAAGATCAATTTGGCACAATAACTCCATATAGCTGTGAGTTGCCGATGTGCCAAAACTTTAGAGGATAACTTCTGGAATGAAACATCATTGTTGCCTCAGAATTTCATGGCCGCATTGTTAAATAATGTGCTTTTATTATACAATGCCACTATTCTTGCTGAAGCCTGACTCGGGTAAAAATAGCATTTGGCATAATGTGTTTGTAACCGTTAGATAACTTTCCTCTTCACTGACCTGTTCAAAAATGAGAAGAGCCCTTTGGCGGAGGCGATGAGCTCCAACACTGCGTGCAACACACTGGTGGACAGCTTGGTGGCGCTCTGCCCGTCGTAGCTGTTGTGGCGCCAGCGACTCTGGATGCCCATTTGCAAGTTGTGGGCCACGAATCGCAGCTTCTCCGTCAGGACCTGCAGGTTTTCCCCACTGTCGTCGAATGACTGATCGGGACAAATTTATAAGACAAATGAAAACCTCACTCAAAGCTTGAATGTAATTTAAGGGAAAAACATGTTCCGGATTACTACTTGTTCAGCTGGGTCGACATCAGTTAATGGGGCTTTCACATCTCATGTACTACAGGTGACAAAAGCGCATACAAACCCTTATGTGTGATTTGACCGAGGCAGAGCAATTGTGAAAACACAGAAAATGGCTTCATTGATGATTTTTAGACTTATTCTCCATCATTTAAAAGTGTGAAGAGGTGGAAATTCAGACTTGCGAACATGATCATTGAGGGACGAGCTAACGGACGGCTGTTCAGATGAATGGCACAGGTGTGCTTTTATCACGGTGAAATGAGTGCTGTTGCGGGCTGAACGATTTCAGCAAAAGATTGCATTGAGATGTCGATTCATGATTCACTTTTTTTTTCTTCCCAAATCAAGCTCCAGGTCAATATTCATGATGTACAGTAACATTTACAAATCCATCCATCCATCCATTTTCTGATCCGCTTTATCCTCACAAGGGTCGCGGGGGTGCTGGAGCCTTTCCCAGCTGTCTTCGGGCAGTAGGCCGGGGACACTCTGAACCGGTTGCCAGCCAATCGCAGGGCACACAGAGACAAACAACCATCCGCGCTCACACTCACACCTAGGGACAATTTTTTGAGTGTTCAATCAGCCTGCCATGCATGTTTTTGGAATGTGGGGGGGAAACCGGAGTACCTGGAGAAAACCCACACAGGCACGGGGAGAACATGCAAACTCCACACAGGAAGGCCGCAGCTGGAATCGAACCCGGTACCTCTGCACTGTGATGTCGACGCGCTAACCACTGGACCACCGGGCTGCGCCACATTCACAAATATGACAAATATCAAAATATTAGAAGCTATTACTCTCATACGGCAAGGACAGTAAAGTGACTAAGTAATGATGGTAGTCCTTTTTCAAGATTTTTGTAACTTGTTCAATAAAGCAAGAACTACTGTGCGCTGTGATATTGCGATAATAAATGCCCTTTAATTCCATCCAAATTTAATCAAATGCATTTGCAAGAGAGCAGAGGCAGGTCGCATTCAGGACGCTCTCATCAGGGGTCAAGAGGTTTGTTCCAGTCGGGCTTTGTTGTTACATATCAACCAGTGGCACTAATCCACAGTCACAGAGTGTCCATGAATTTTTCATGGCTTTCTCCTCATTGTAATGACGTAACGGCGCACTTGAAAGCGGTCACGCTCCTCCGTGTGATGCTTGGTTTCGTGAATGAGCGCGGTCACAAGCCAAACAGGCGGCTGGATGGCGCTCTGTAATGTAAATGGAAACTGTATTAACCGCGCGGGTGCCTCTTACGAAACGATTGCACGCTTGCGTCTGTTCTTAAAGCTTTACATAAGCGTTCACATTCATAGAAAGAGAGTGGGCATGAAGGCTCCTGTCTGCGATTTGGCAGCAGGTTTAAGCCGCTTGAGCCGCCAAGTGCGGCGGTCACTGACTGTCACTGCACTGTCTTGCTCAATTAGCCTACAAACACACTATCAATTAACACACCGCTTAAGTCTTATAAATAAAACTACCTCACAAGTGCTTAGGCAGAGGTAACTGGACATTGGAGTACTAAAGTAGCGGTCCCATAAATTTGCAAGTTCACTCCGAGGACAACAATCGACAACGCATGGCCGTTCCACTTGATTGAATAGAAAATGGGGAAATGTACAGCGCTGCCTTTGAGCTATGAGTAACAGTTGTTCGAGATAAAAGCAATCGCTCACTGATTTCTTTGCCATATGACCGCTGAATGGTGGCAGTGAATTCAAAAAATGATTTTACAACAAGCGGCAGTTTGGCAGATGGAGAACAATTCTTCAAAACAGCAGCTTGAAGATGCCACTCATAGTTGACGTTGACTGTCAAACTAAACATAAAACAAAGAGAATTCCGCATTGCGTATTTAAAACAACCAAATCCATCCGATTATATACTTTGTAGTTATTCGATGGAATAATCAATAGGATAATCAGTTCGAAAACGATTTGGTGGTGACAGCCCTATCTGCATGGATGTAGCCGACAGTTGACATCTATTTTTTACTTTTTGACCTCAAACTGAAAATACTGCATCTGTTGATTGCTTCAGCAGGTAATCGAAGCTCAATTCCCCACATGAATCACTTGATTGATTATTACATCCATGGCTTTTGATTCTTTTAATGATTCTCAGATCTCTTTTGAAGACATCACAACATCGCATGGTGAGCAAGGCCAATTAATACTTTGCGCATCTGTGTGTCCGCAGGGTGTGCGTTGCTCCATGTTACATAAACATCATCAACCACCACAGTGCACAAGATCTGTGTGGATCCCTCTCTGCAATCGGATGCGCGCAGCCCAATTTTTGTGACCGCGCAGACTGAATGCATATAATGTGCTCTCAACTCCAAACTTAATCCTGACACAAACCCCGTGAGTTTAACGTTGAACCTAACCCAAAGTCTAACTACCTAACCCTAACCCGAGCCCCAAAGCACAACATCCTAAATCAAACTGCAAACCTAACGATCTCGTTCAGAACAGAAAAAAAACCCCAGCACCGAAGACTATGATGAGACAGTGAAGTTTACATGCTCCTTCCAGGAAAGACATGTTTTGCAAGAAGACGTGTTCTAAATCCAGCGGTAGACTGTAAACAGTTATTCAACAGCAGAGAGTCAGCATTCTAGTTTGGACACATGACATCTGAAATACCCTCAAGACACCCCTCGACTCGATCACCGTGGTCACACACCACACACAGAATACACATGACTCCTATTCTCGCCTCACCAAGGAGCACAGCTTCTCCACGGCTTCCAATATCAGCTCCTGGTGGCCGATCTTGGACACTCCCAGCCTCTCCAGGTCCTCCGAAGTCAATTGGAGCAGATCCAGGCCGGAGAGATGCCACTCTGACAAGGCATACCGATGCAAGGGTGCGTCCAGACCTGGCAGCGGGACACGAGAGATGGGAAGAGTCAGGCTTCTCATACTGAAAGGCCATATTAGTCTAAGGAAAAAAAAAAAAAAACAGGCCGAGACGTGCGGCTGGAACCTGGACGCTGTAAAAGGATCTGAGGCTTTGTGCTGACAAACCGCGACGACAATACAATACATCTTTATTTGTGTTGCGCTTTCACAACAGCGGCAGTTTTAACAGCAGTGTTTAATGATATCTGGTCAGGACTATAAATTGGGGGCTAATCAATTGCTACTGCTGCCATCAAGTGAAAGAGCATATAACTGTTCTGCAGGTCACTATACATTGCCGGCATAAATAGATGACCAAAGATGCATTATTTTGCAGCAAATAAATGATAATTATTGGACCGATTTCCTGGAGCACATCTGTAATCGCACTGTGACCTGTCATACATGCTTGTAAACGTTTAGGAGAATTCAAAGTTGGTCATTAATCAGACATACATGTTACTATATACACGGTAGACAGTTTTGAATTATCAATGAACCGAACATACCGTACATGAGGAAGAAGAAAACTCACAAAAAGGTCTGAGCTGAGTCACAACGTATTCGAACCAGACTGCTTAAGTTTTAATGACAGATACATTTGTATTTTCATTCGATTGTCCGTGAAAAGTTGCTTCAGGGTTCTACATTAACAGTAGGTCCAGGGGCCCACTACATGACGACTTGATATATTTTGAGTTTCATCCCCTTAAATTGTTCAATCGATCTTTTCACTGCACTACAGACATTAATTTTGTGTGTCAGGTCTGTCCAAATAAGTTTTTCTTTTGTTGTGCCAATTTATCAAAATGGGAGTGGTATATAATACATAGTAAAAAATAATAATAATAATTTAAAAAAAAAATATATAGCTTATGTATTGTCTAATTAGTCAATTGTTTGATGTTGAATCCTCCAACAACGATTCTTGGCAAATGCCAGGCTAAAAACCACCAGACTCTGGCATTCAATTACGTCTAATTTGAAGAAATATCAAGTTACCAAAACAGCGTTTGTATATTTGACAGTAACAAGTCGACTTGGTACTTGAGTACCTTTCATTGTAACTTTTTACAGAAGGAGTTGAATGAGTACTTATACCACGGCGTACTCCAACTTAAGTTTGAGTACTTTTGCCACTTCTGGTTCGACGTTCTCACTTTAAAGAAAAGTCTGATCGAAAAAGCATGTCACAACACTCCACTGAGCGGAGCACGTTGTTGACATGATCTGAGCAAAGACTATTATGGCTCCTCTGGGCCACTTCCTCATTCCACCTCCACCTTTCACTTCCCAAAGGATTTACGTTTGTGTTTTGTAATCACCGTGCTTCTATTTGTGACTCCAAAGTAGCTAACAGGAGATCGCAGCAACGAACAAAAAGCAGGTATGGTAGGCAGTGGCGAGAATCGGGCTCACCTTGGAGCCACTGGCACACCGTCTCCTCGCTCCAGGCCGTAATCGGCTCCATGCTCGGCGTGCTGCTCCACTCGCTAGGTCAGCTCCCCGCCGCCTTGGCTGACGTCTACCTGGCCCTGGTGCCGCTGTTATTGGAGGAAGACGGAAAACTGGCACTCGAGTCGGACGAGGACGACGAGTGGCACTCCTTCGCTCAGGTACAGGTGGGTGGGAGTTGGCAGCAAAGCCCCTTAGCTCCCCTCGAGTTGTCAGGCAGTGGTGGTGTCCCTCCCCCCTACTCCCTCCTACTCTTACCTGTGGGAAGTCTTGTATAAAGGACTATACCTGCAATGAAGCAACACTTGAGTCACAATCAAAGTATGTGAACAGAAAAGAACTTTGATAGAAGTAGAATATAGCTTGAATAAAAATCGAATGAAAAAAAATGAATCAAACTCTTTCTGTCATTGCGTGGGCTAATAAAATTTTGCTTTATCTATTTTGTTTACCTTTCATTTAAATGTTTAGAGAAATTGTAATATTACAAAAACAATTTGCAGTTGAGGATACTTCAGGTTACCTAATTTGATTATGACGTAATCATTAATAGTACGATAAGTACAATAACAATAACTTGATTTATTCTTGTAACATGGCAACTTTTTTTCTCAAACGTTTTTGTCCTGTAGTAATTCAATGTTATTCTCGAAAAACTATAACTTTATCAGGTTTATATTACGACGTTATTCGTATAGCATTGCAAGGTTTTTTCTCATAACCTTAAATGGGAAGTCAAGTCAAAATTTTTCAATAAGGAGTTCTCTGCGGCCTCACCTACTCTAAAAATTGTATTCTGATTAATAGGGTGTTTGTGAAAAATCAATTAAGCAGCAAAATCAACCGGCTTTTCTCCATCTCACATACGAACATATATATGAATGGACTATCAATAGGTCACTCGTGTTAGAAGACATTGGGCAGCCATCTTACGTTGCCATTGATACTGAAAACATTTTTTTCACCGAAAACACTGTTATCAATGTGTGTGTGTGTGTGTGTGTGTGTGTGTGTGTGTGTGGGTGTGGGTGTGTGTGGGTGTGTGTGGGTGTGTGTGTGTTTGTCTTGATACCTTATAAGAGAAAATGTAAAGTCGCATTCTTACTGATGAAATGTGCATGTTGTGTAAATTAGCTTTCTTTGTCTACTTAATTAGAGTATTCCAGTATTTGTGCTCCATCACTTGTACTGTACACGTAATTGTTTCTTAAGTGAGCAAACATGTACAATTATCAAACCACATAACATCATGATAACACATTAAAATAATGCCCCTTGTAACTCACACAGAGTATATGCCGCTTTTTTCATGAGCAGTCACAAGATTTCTAATCCTAATCCTCTTTACTGGTCAGTACTCCTCCTCATGAGAATTTTTAAGGAATTAATTTTGTTGTTTAATTGTTCCTTTAATCTAGCTAAATACTGTATTTGGAAATTATAACTATATGGGAGGACATTACTTATTTTTACTTTGATAACTTTTTATACAAAAAAGGAATGTAACCATTTTTATGATTTGATATTTTAATATTTTGGTAGATTGTATATGAAAAAATAAAATGCAGTTTTTTAACCCCTTTCTGTTTTTTCATAATTATATTTGTTTTAGGTGGAAAAATTAACAAGATAACAACTAAATATTTTTTCGTCATTTCGAAGTTGAAGCTTGACGATTGACCGCAACGCATTTTGGGAAGGATAGCATGTTAACTGTATGTTGATAGCGGGCAAACCCGTAGCTAAAATCCAGGCTTTTTTTTTTTTTTTTTTTTTTGGCGCTCTTGGCAAGGCGGGGAAGTCACTCCACGGACAAAGACGATGATTTACTAGCACCAAAACGCGAGTACAGACGCGATAAAGGCGAGTTGAGAAACAGTCGTTTCTTGTTTTACGTTACCTATTGTGTAACCCCCCACCACCACCACCACCACAATCCACAGAAGGGCGGCAACGAAAGAGGCTTTTAAAGTAGCAAAGAGCTGGCTTCTGTTTTTTGGCACCCCCTGCCGTCTAATCCTTTAATCGATAGAACACTGAGTACTTTATTGTTTGAATGTTGGAAGCAAATGCGTTCGTGATTATTAAGAGTATGAGTGGCCCCCACCAGTCTGATGATGGACAACTTGAACCAGGACCACCACGAGACTCTTCATTCTTTCCAAAATCAGCTTTGTTTTAGTTTTGTTCAGGTGTGTTTACTTTTACCCTCAAAACTCCAGTTTGTGTCTGGTTATTTTGATGCATCATTGAAAATTTTGACTTTACTGAGTCAGGAGATTAATTTTGCCGAGCCCGAAATATCAGAGGGACAAATTCAAGTTCCAGCCTGTTGCAGAACACACCCATTACCGCGCTCACCAGATTCTCTTACTGGAACACGAGAAGCTTTTTTTCGGGGGAAAGAAAGTCTGAACATAATATTCCTCACGAGTACCACCACGGCTGAACTCATCCATTCTATGAATTCTATCAGGTTGTATAATAATTACAGTTGCAATCGGATGGCTGTTTTAGTGATAGGCACATCCGCCTCCATTTTTGAGGTCAGGGCTTCAAATCCACACACTATTGTGTGTAGTTTGCCTCTTCTTACTTGCGTTTTTTCCAAGTACTACAGCTTCCTTCCCCATTCCAAAAACATGTGTTAGTCCCGCAGCAGACCATACGACGCGACCAAATGTCGCTGATTCCTCGTGTGGCCGCAAAGTTGTAGCTGTAAAGGCCCATCAAAATGCAATGTTATACCACATGATATTATTGCAACAAAAGTTACGTTTGAAAGAAAATGAATTGAGGATGATGATGGATAAAGGTGGCACTTGTAATTTGAAGATAATAGCAGTTGTTTGTTTACATTCAAAGCTGTGTGCAACCATCATGTGTGATGTTATGCACGCTGGATGACTGACGAGATGAAGGTTGAACAAACTTTTTGGAAGGTGTTTGTCTGGTTTGCATCTGGTGTAATTAAACACAGCATCTCAGATAAAAACATCAGACCAACAGTCCAACATGGTGGTGATAATACGATGGCCGGGGGGTCGCTTCTTTCTTCAGGACCTGGACGACTTGCTGTGACTGAAAAAAACATGCCTTTCGTTCTTTGAAAAACATAGGACTTTATTTCTGCTGCAACTATTGTGAAAGCAATTCATAAAGGAAATTCAGTTGATTCTGAAAGACCGTCAACCTGACTTTATTAACACAGGGATGTGTGGTTTTTATGGTATGTCACAATCATGTCTGAGATTCACTTAGCCAAAAGCTCAGGTAGGCCGTTTTAGTTTTATTGGTGCGCTGCTCCCCATGCATAGGCTCAGAATTTTCCCAAATGATACCATGTAATTAATTCATTTCACCAGTTTGAGGACCACTGCTATAAAAGATCGATGGATTGCTCTTGGTCAAACTTAAGATTTGAAAAGCTCTTAGGTATTCCACAGTCATCGTAGATAATGATACATGCAGCCAGTCGCTTGTTCTCTTCTCGGTCTTTATTTGAACAATCAATCGCAATTGTACTCTGAGACCGCACTCTCCTGCAGCCATTGCGATGACAAACGATAACACCACGACTGTTTGAAACACAATAACTCCGTTCAGCACGGGCACGGCGCACCGCCAGCGTGACTTTTAATCATTGCAGTATCTTCTTCCCACTCAGCAGAGATTGGATAATTACCCCCCCTCAACTTTGGAGCAGCTAATTAATTAGCATCTCTGCTGCTGGATGGCACAAACATAGCTTCATTGAGCTCAGCTGTATGCGGCATATACAGTACTGTCCACGATAAAGCATGAAAGTGCTCCATGTGAAATGTGACCCAAGCTTCAAATTGAATTTAGCCATGTGATGTATCCCACTAGGGATGAAACGTCATCTAGGAACATTGTGTACATGAGTTCCAGTGCCCTCTTGTTGACTATATGGTATTTTGTGTTTTGAAGATTGCTTTACTTTCAGGTCGTGTCAGTTAATCCCATGAAACTGGCACCAATACGATGCAATGATGCTTGGTTAATGGTTGCTAATGGTGGTAAATCTGCGATTTACAAAGAAATTTACAGTCTAATTTTATTCCTTCATTTTGGTAACGGAATCGCAATCAAAATCCATCCATTTTCCGGTCTGCTTATCCTCACAATGGTCGCACGGGGTGCTGGAGCCTATCCCAGCTGTCTTTGGGCAGTAGGCGGGGGACACCCTGAATCGGGCGCCAGCCAATCACAGGGCACACAGAGAGAACAACCATCCACGCCCACATTCATACCTAGGGACAATTTAAAGTGTTCAATCGGCCTGCCATGCATGTTTTTTGGAATGTGGGAGGAAACCGGAGTACCCGGAGAAAACGCACGCAGGCCCGGGGAGATCATGCAAACTCCACACAGGGAGGCCGGAGCTGGAATTGAACCCGGTACCTCTGCACTGTGAAGTCGACGTGCTAACCACTGGACTACCAAGCCACCCACCTGAGAAATGACATCCACAATTTATATCGCCAAGCAGCAATGCAAGCATTCCTTTTCTGAAATTCCCGCGACATGCAGCGAAGTCTATTCAAGTCACACTCTGTTGAGCGCTACACATGCAGGGATGAGTCACATCTCCCATGATACTTCACTTCAGGATGACACTTAAGGGGGGTTATCCCTGGGGTTTCCTTCTGAGTCATCACTGTCAGATTTGATGTCACTAGAGCATCATGGAGGGTGTGTGTGTGTGTGTGTGTGTGTGTGTGTGTGTGTGTGTGTGTGTGTGCGTGCGTGTGTGCGTGCGTGCGTGCGTGCGTGCGTGTGTGTGTGTGTGTGTGTCACTTTTGGGGGATTTGGGTTCATTTTGTTAGGTTCTTGAGTTCACCATTCACTTTGACCGCATGAGTACACTGGCCTCTGACTTAAAATTTGCATATTCTCCTCCTGTGCTTGCATGGTTTTCTTCTGTGAGCTTTCTGCCACGTTCCAAAATCATACATGTTAGGTTCATTGAAGGCTAAATTGTACATAGGTGTGACTGTGAGTGGGAATAGTCATTTGTCTACATGTGTATGATATTTGACTGTTGACCAGTAAAGGATGTACCGGTATACCGCCTCAAGCCCAAAGTCAGCTGCGATTGTCTCCAGCTCACTTACAACTCTAATGAAGATAGGCGTTATAAAAATGCAATGATGTGGCATTTCCAATTTGTAATGACAGTTCACATTGAAGTGCAAACAGCCTGCTTTTGCAAACATATCCACCCAAAAGACAAGACACCAAATTATCTGTTCCATCCTCTGCCCCACTTCAACTCCCTTTGTTTGCTCTACATGCCTCGCCTTCATCCTAATTTGAATCCCGCCCCCAATAAGAAGAATATGTCAGATCCATCCACAGTTTGATGCTCTCCTGTTGCCAATAGTAACCGGTGCCGTCCGCGAGTGAAACACTCTCTGCCGTTGAATGGAGCGAGGAAGAAGTGTGTTATATCACAGAGGGCCCTCACTACAAGAGCTCCTGTCAATGGGAAGAACAAACAACACTGCATGGTCACGACCAAAATTGGAGGTTTATGTAAGTTGGCAGGTGTGTTCAGACTCCTATTTTAACATGAATTTTGAATGTGATTGGTTAATTCTGAACACAGCCACATACCCAGTTGTAAGCCGGTGTGCACATTCACATTTATTCCAATTGCATATTTGTACTTTTCTTCAAAAACGATTTGATTTATTTTTTCAAATGAGTTGTCGAGGCTACAGGTCACATTGATGCTGTAACATCAATTCATAATTTTTAATAGAATAGATTTGAGCTTATTTACTATAAAAATAATTTGAGGCAAGGTCTAATTTTCCTTCCAATTAGTATTTACACAACAGTTCCAGTATGATAGTACAGGTGTTTTTTTTTTGTTTGTTTTTTTTTTGCATGACGTAGTTGCAGTTAACCTCTCCACCTGATGATGGAGACATCGGACCTGGGCGTTGGAGTAGCGAGGGTTAAAAAAAAAAGAAAGAAAAGGAGGGCAGGATGAATCTCGTCTTTGGGAGTGTGCCAATAACAATCTCAGCTCGGAGGCTGCGCGGAGCTTTTTACTACCAAGACGAGACCGAGAAGAGGAAGTCCGGCGAGGACGACACAAGCTTGGCTTCGACTGTGAAGCCGGTCCGGACTTGGTTGCATTCCTTCAGGATTGTTTTGGTTTTTTTTTTTGTTTTTGTTTTTGTTTTGTTGGTGTGTTTTTACACACAGTTTTTTTTTCCCTGCCTGTCAAAAACTGATAGCCCCGAGGCTGCTTCGTACTGCCTGGATTTATTATACTCTCCATTGGATTATATCACTTTGGAGCGAACCGAATTAAATCAAAACGATTGCACCTGTTTGTTGAACCCCCTGTGTGTGTGTGTGTGTGTGCGTGTGTGCGTGCGTGCGTGCGTGCGTGCGTGTGTGTGTGTGTGTGTGTCACTTTTGGGGGATTTGGGTTCATTTTGTTAGGTTCTTGAGTTCACCATTCACTTTGACCGCATGAGTACACTGGCCTCTGACTTAAAATTTGCATATTCTCCTCCTGTGCTTGCATGGTTTTCTTCTGTGAGCTTTCTGCCACGTTCCAAAATCATACATGTTAGGTTCATTGAAGGCTAAATTGTACATAGGTGTGACTGTGAGTGGGAATAGTCATTTGTCTACATGTGTATGATATTTGACTGTTGACCAGTAAAGGATGTACCGGTATACCGCCTCAAGCCCAAAGTCAGCTGCGATTGTCTCCAGCTCACTTACAACTCTAATGAAGATAGGCGTTATAAAAATGCAATGATGTGGCATTTCCAATTTGTAATGACAGTTCACATTGAAGTGCAAACAGCCTGCTTTTGCAAACATATCCACCCAAAAGACAAGACACCAAATTATCTGTTCCATCCTCTGCCCCACTTCAACTCCCTTTGTTTGCTCTACATGCCTCGCCTTCATCCTAATTTGAATCCCGCCCCCAATAAGAAGAATATGTCAGATCCATCCACAGTTTGATGCTCTCCTGTTGCCAATAGTAACCGGTGCCGTCCGCGAGTGAAACACTCTCTGCCGTTGAATGGAGCGAGGAAGAAGTGTGTTATATCACAGAGGGCCCTCACTACAAGAGCTCCTGTCAATGGGAAGAACAAACAACACTGCATGGTCACGACCAAAATTGGAGGTTTATGTAAGTTGGCAGGTGTGTTCAGACTCCTATTTTAACATGAATTTTGAATGTGATTGGTTAATTCTGAACACAGCCACATACCCAGTTGTAAGCCGGTGTGCACATTCACATTTATTCCAATTGCTTATTTGTACTTTTCTTCAAAAACGATTTGATTTATTTTTTCAAATGAGTTGTCGAGGCTACAGGTCACATTGATGCTGTAACATCAATTCATAATTTTTAATAGAATAGATTTGAGCTTATTTACTATAAAAATAATTTGAGGCAAGGTCTAATTTTCCTTCCAATTAGTATTTACACAACAGTTCCAGTATGATAGTACAGGTGTTTTTTTTTTGTTTGTTTTTTTTTTGCATGACGTAGTTGCAGTTAACCTCTCCACCTGATGATGGAGACATCGGACCTGGGCGTTGGAGTAGCGAGGGTTAAAAAAAAAAGAAAGAAAAGGAGGGCAGGATGAATCTCGTCTTTGGGAGTGTGCCAATAACAATCTCAGCTCGGAGGCTGCGCGGAGCTTTTTACTACCAAGACGAGACCGAGAAGAGGAAGTCCGGCGAGGACGACACAAGCTTGGCTTCGACTGTGAAGCCGGTCCGGACTTGGTTGCATTCCTTCAGGATTGTTTTGGTTTTTTTTTTTGTTTTTGTTTTTGTTTTGTTGGTGTGTTTTTACACACAGTTTTTTTTTCCCTGCCTGTCAAAAACTGATAGCCCCGAGGCTGCTTCGTACTGCCTGGATTTATTATACTCTCCATTGGATTATATCACTTTGGAGCGAACCGAATTAAATCAAAACGATTGCACCTGTTTGTTGAACCCCCACCCCACTCCCGGGTGGTGCACGAGGACTGTTTGTGGACAGCACCAAGTCACCGAACCGACACCGAGACCCAAAGCCGACCTGAGAAGTTCTGCATCTTGACGGGGAGGGAAAAAATCTGCCAACATGCCGCTCGCACAGATTGCCGAGCCTTGGCCCACAATGGAACTAGTCCAGCTGGAAACTGAGGTAACCGCAAGTGTAATGCACGGCAGAATTCCAACGTTACATTCAAGTTACTATGCTTGACTTTTTGGGATTTTCAATCAAGTGCCTACATTGAGATAAAATGATTTGAAGAACCGGTAGTTTGCTTGTTTGATTTTGGTGGGAGAAAAATGTTCATAAATGTGTACATTACACATGCATGTTATACCCTTTCCCTTCCCCCTTCTCCTACTTTGAAATACCATATCTAATGTGATAATGCAAAAAAAAAAAAAAAAAAAAAGTACACCCATTTTACTAACTTGCGTGCCTGAGGAAATAAACTCTGTTCATATGTCTATGCTACTGACATATAGTGACAGGCAGAATTAGATCCTATTCCATTCCAAGTACTGTACAGTACATATATCCAGGTTAATTGCGCTTGCTGCCCTCTAAGAGCATAAAATTGTTCAGCCTGTCGTTAAACATAGCGGACTCGCTGGCATGAATAGATTAAGAAAGATCGATTGTTTGTTTTAAATCATTCTCAGACCAATTAAGTGAAATTGGATAATCTCTCAGTGGTTAACAATTGGAGCTAAAATAAATGGATACCCCATCATGATTTTTTTAAAGCCTGTGATTTACTCTTATCAAAAGGAGATGATTCATCACTTCACATCAGTTATTTCCAAATGTATCTTTATTTGGAAATGTTCCACATTGTCACTTCAACTCAAGAGCATTTCCAAGCCCAGAGAAGTGCCTTTTAACAGGAGGTGTGCTTTTCCACCGTGTTACAGCGCCTCATATTGAACTTCTTCAGGGAAGCAAGCACTGCTGATGGATATCAGGTTTGAACAGTGTGTAAGAGAGAACTCGGTATGGAGACTATGCAGGGCACACACCATACGATAATTGGTTCATAATTAGAGCATTTTCCACCCCTTCCGATCAAAGTCGGCATAGGCCAGATTGTCAGGTGTCTCTAAAAGATGATTCTGACAAATTATACTTGGGAGTTTTCTTCCTCAATCTCTTTGGGAAACAGCCAGGTCCACCAATCGTAAATGTTAAACCCGTTCCATATTTATGATGGTAGATTCTTATGCGTACAGTCAACACAGATTTGGCCTGAGCCACCGACTCCAATAGTGGGATTTGAAACAGAACGCAAGCCAATTAGGAAACTCACTGAAGCTTGTGGCGTTGCTGGACGCAAATGGAGGAGTAACTAGTTGTTTTGAGGCGCCCGACTGGTGGTTAGCACATCTGCCTCACAGTTCAGGGGTTGTGAGTTCATTACAGCAAAGTAGTTAGTGCAAATCATGCACATAAGACAAGACGAACTTTGAACTATAGAAGATTTGGGGGGGGGGGGGTTCCACTGAAAAATGAACACAAATTCGATAAATTCAATCAATATAAGTGCCAAAAAGAAAGAAGAACTTTGAAACATAGAAGATTTGGGGGGGGGGGGGTTCCACTGACAAATGAACACAAATTCGATAAATTCAATCAATATAATCTAACTGATGGCTTGACACTCCATTAAAAAAATTACGTTGATTTAACATGACGGCCAGTTTGTATCGCTCGTCTTCTCTCGACAAGCCCTCTTGATGCAGGTCCCTCTTCTACAGTGCGGCAAAGAAAAAGTGAAACATCCACAGCTGTGTTCCACATTCAGTCTTTTTGGAGGTTCAAGCACAGTACAGTATGTGCAAGTCTGCCTCAACACCTGCACGGTGACAACCTGTAGAATGTCACTGACACCGTACGATTGAACAGCTGCAGGAATCTGCTACATCAGGCGCCGGGCGAAATGCAATATTCATGCTTTCTGTCTCTGATCTCCCCCCTTTTGTGTGACTCTGTGCACGGTAAGACACAATGTCCTCAGTCTGCTTTACGGTGAAGATTGATTTGTAGATAGAACATCTCGATAATAGGAGGGCAACATCCTGGTCCTGGAAATTGATATCTATCGTTTGGCATCGATGGCCTTTCTGATAGCAGAGAGACATCCTGGTCTCAGAAGTTGATCTCCATCTTTTAGCCTATATCGCCTCTCTGATTAAAAGCGGACATGCTGCAATATATGACTAATTTCAACTAGTTGGCCACAATGGGTTTCATTCCAAATGAGACATTTTGGTTCCTCCACCGAATTCAAAGTTATTGAAACAATTAATCACACAGTATATCACGAGAAAATGATAAATTGTACAGAGGACATTAATTTACTACAATATGAATCAAAAACCAAAACGGCAGGGTTGTCGAGAAGAGTGTGCACAAGAATAATAAATGAAAGAGGCAAGGATTTATGAATTAATGTCAAGCTATCTAAAAATATCTATGTATGTATAGCAGCAGGCAAGGGAACCGATTCCAATGAGAGACGAAAACTACATATGTAGAGACTGTATCTGCATACCTAAAGCGCATATGAACAGCAGCAACAAGATTAGTCAGCAGCATTGTTCAGTAGGCCTATGTAATTTAAAAAAAAAAAGTCAAATGACACACATACATGCAAAAATAGTATATTTAACAAAAAAAAAAAAAAAAGGATAGCAGGGGTCGCATGTGACACCAATGATTCTTTGTGTGAGTGTCTGGGTGTGAGCTGTGGCCAACAGCAGGTTGACGACTCTGCTCATTGTGTTGACTCAGCTTCAATAAACATTGTGTATGTTACTGTAGCTCTCCTTTCCCACATGTGAGGGAATTACACTGCACGAAAAAATCTGTTTCGCAAAAAATAGCAGCGGCGTGAACCGTCAACTGCTGTCTAGCGGGGATCACTGTACAATATGTTGCGGTTGGTGATGACAACTGCCAACTACACGTGTATATAAACAGTGAGTTGAGTTAATGAGTTTTGACAAATGCACCCATATTTACATTGCCGCTGTCATCAAAACAAGTCACCCTCTCACATTGTTGTCATTGTATGTAGTAACTAACAAATTCTTGCTTTTGTCCCATCCACTTGTCAGCAGCACCTCTGAACAGATGGTAGCGCTGACCCAGTGCTGAAAGAGTGTCGACTATAATTGCCTGCCTTTTTATTGCATGATTGATGGGAGGGAAATCTGCAGTTTTATTTAAAACAGAAAAAAAACCCGCTGATTTGTATCTCATCGGACTACACAATAGTTCTCCACTTTGCATTCATTATCACCCAAGCTGTGATAAATTTGATCACAGCAGTCACTGCCATTCAGAGTGGGAGGTCGATGCCATTTCGGCCGGAACGACCATGCCACTGCACACTTTGCTAGCGCCAGCGTCAGGGAGGCACCTTGGGCCCGTGAGCGATTGAGCAGAAAGAGCGAGCTCATGAGTCTATGCCAAGTGAGCATGTTGGACCACAAGACAGATGGGGTGGTCCCGTTGGCTGACTAGGAAACGAAAAGGCGGGCCGACCTGCTGTGCTGTGACATGATGGCTTCCATTGAGCGCCGATGCTTTATGAGGTCTGGTCCAGGTCCATTTGGCTGTTGAGTTTCTTTTCTTTTTTTTTTTATTCAAGATGGTTGAGCGCTTCACTCTGACTCTGATTTCTAAGAGTCCCTAAACCTAGGGGACTACGTTTAGGTACATCTGCTTCATCAAAGTTTTTTTTTTTTCCCCTCAATTTGAGGGCGCTGATTTTGTTGGAGGTTTTAATGGACGGATGTCATTGTTGACTCCAGCCCTCCCTATTTTTCATGTGTTGGCTTGGCTTGCTCTCCCAAAGGCTCGGTTATCTCACGGCACATGGTATTCCCAGCTGGTCTGCTATTCAAGGAGTGTGAACCCCACATTTTTACGTTTTGGCTTTCGCAAAGTCACCAGCATCACATCCCCCCAGAATTGCCATGGTCCACTGTATTAACCAGGCCTGACCCCTGCTGGGCTTCCGGGATAAAATGAGGTTGGGCGTTCTCAGAGTCTTACGGCTTTGCTGCAATAAAATTAAATCAGTAACTTATTATTTTTCAAGATCCACTTTGGAATCGGCCGTAAGAGCAAGTACCCAAGTTGCAAACGCGGCTACCTTCTTTCAAACTTTTACAGCTAATTCCTCACTGTCAAAGCTGGAATCCCTCCTGGTCCGCCACGCTTGAAACGGCTACGTCAAGGATCAAAACGTAATTTACGATTAGACCTGATAGCACAGGTCGGAGAGGGAGTCATAAAACCGTTTGATTGATGATGTGCTTTTATGTCTGCGGGCCAATGACATCTGATCCAGAGTGAATCAGCACTGATAAAGAGGGACCAATCATCCCCACTGCTGCGCCTCCACCAATGACTCAGTGCCACCTTCAATGACTTCTGGCATTTGTCACGATCCTGCCAATGAGCCCACGCATCTGTCCGCAGGTCCCGGTTGCCACTCGCTCTTGACCACATGAATACAGAAACTTTCACTTTGTACTTCTGCGATTTGTATTAAAGAGTGAAAAAGTGTTCATATTTACATAGAGCTGGCCAGAGAATGAGGGGGAACCGACTGAAACTATTTTGCATTAGTTTGTACGTGATATCTTGGGCCTCGTCAAGGAGAAAGTTGGGTCGATGGCTCAAGAGTGTGCCATGTTTGCTGTCACCGTCGACCCAAGCAGTCGTGTGTGTGCAAGTTCATGCCTTTATCTCTTGCGCAGGATTAAGTGCAGCTAATCTGGGTGTGACCTGCGGAACACCTGAGCAAGACTGTTGGAGTGAAGGAGGGCATGCGATATCACAGAGGTTTTGTGGGGCTTCTTGTTTGTTTAGCCGTTTAGGTAAACCATATGGGTGTGGAACCTACCTAGACCTTGAGAGCTTTGAGCCAGTTCGTCACACAGTTCTTGAAACAAGTGTAGCAAACCAGATCATATTTTGCAGCCGTTGTTAAGTTGAGAGGAAACAAGAAGGCCTTCTCGAAAGTTCACCACCAGATGCCTTCCAAGATGTAGGAGATTTTCCAGCCGTAGCTTGAGAATGCTCACACTGAACATCAGACGGTTTTACACAATACTGAAGTTTTCGGTGTAGTGTTGACT